TATCTTTTTTTTTTTTTTTTGAGACAGGGCCTCACTCCTCTGTCACCCAGGCTCAAGTGCAGTGACACGATCACAGCTCACTGCAGCCTTGACCTCCTCTGGCTCAAGCAATCCTCCCACCTCAGCCTCCTGAGTAGCTGGGACTACAGGCATGCACCCGCCACGCCTGGCTCATTTTTGTATTTTTAGTAGAGGTGGGATTTTCACCATGTTGCACAGGCTGATCTCGAACTCCTGACCTCAAGCGATCCACCTGCCTCGGCTTTCCAAAGTGCTGGAATTATAGGCATGAGCCACTGTGCCCAGCCTTCTTTTTAAAAAAAAATAAAAATAAAAATAAAAAAATTGGCCGGGCGCCGTGGCTCAAGCCTGTAATCCCAGCACTTTGGGAGGCCGAGACGGGCGGATCACGAGGTCAGGAGATCGAGACCATCCTGGCGAAAACGGTGAAACCCCGTCTCTACTAAAAAATACAAAAAACTAGCCGGGCGAGGCGGCGGGCGCCTGTAGTCCCAGCTACTCGGGAGGCTGAGGCAGGAGAATGGCGTAAACCCGGGGGGCGGAGCTTGCAGTGAGCTGAGATCCGGCCACTGCACTCTAGCCCGGGCGACAGAGCCAGACTCCGTCTCAAAAAAAAAAAAAAAAAAAAAAAAATCTTTCTCATGATACACAATTGGAGCTCACGAACCAGTAATCACAAAATTGAGAATAAGATAAATCATAGGTAGGTTTATTAATGACTTCCAACTAGTTACCAGCAGAGGGTGCTACTTATCCATATTTTCACACGTATAAAGCATGTTTTGCTGAACTAATGGGCAGGCTTCAATACTGTAAATGACATTATCTTACAAATCTGTATTGTGTGATCATGAATCAGCTACCCAGACATAAACATAACACCTTCAGTTTTAAAAAATCTACATTTTTCTTTTCCTTATTTGTGAATTTAAATAGATGATCCTGTACATGAATATGGTACAAAAATATACAGAAAGAATTAACTCTTTCTTCTACCCCAGTCCTCTAGTTCCTCAATTTTCTCTTTCAAGGTTATCATTGTGTCCAGTTTCTTCTGCATTTATGTGTGTGTCTGTTATGTTTTGTGTTCGTATTGTATGTGTTTTCTGTTTTGTGTTTTCAATCAGAAATGCTGTAAGTGCCACTCTTCAGCTTAGGGTTAATTTATAAATAAGCCCATCATTTTGGGATTCCACGTCAGCACTTACAGAACATCTTTCTTTCAAACAGCTCTATTTTATTCCACTGTGTAAAATAAACAGAAATTTATGTAACCAGTCCTCTGTTGATAGACAGTAAGGTTATTTTAAATATTTTGCAATTCCAAACATTAGTAAATTAAGTGTATTTTTACATTTTTCTTTGTAAATATGTGCAAGTATATCTGTAGGGTAATTTCCTGGGGAAAATTGGCTGGCTGTCTGAAAAATAATGAAGGTATAGTTTCATCTCTCTATACAAAGATAAATTCCGAATGTATTAAATCAAAGACACTAGAGAAAACAGAGGAGAATGTCTGTGATTTTGGAGTCAGGAAAGCTTTTCTAAGGCTAACACAAACTCAGAAGGTGTATGAAAGAGATTGAAATTTGACTGTACATTTTTAAAAATCTGTGTGGCAAAACCACCATAAACAAAAAATACAAATAACCCCTGGTAAAAATGTATTTGTAACGCATCCTACAAGCAACTAAGTCTTGTAATATATAAAGAGCTTTTGTGTATTGATAAAATCAAGCCCCACCGAAAAATGACCAAAGTATACAAACACATAAAACATCGAAATGGAAATACAAATGGCTTTCAACACATGAAACCATATTCGTAAGGAGAGAAATTGCAAATTACACTTTTTTTTGGTCTTTTTTTTTTATCCTTTTTGTGGAGTATTAGGGGGTCTCACTATATTGCCCAGGCAGGTCTTGAACTCAAGCTATCCTGCTGCCTCTGCCCCCCTAAATGCTGGGATGACAGGTGTGCATCACCACGCCCCTCGAGGAATGCATATTAAAATAATGAGATACTATATTTCACCTATCAGATTGGCACAGACCAACATATTGTGTTCGTGAGGGTGTGGGGAAACAAGCAGGCTCACGGTTTGTTGGTGAGACTATAAATTGGTACAACCTCTATGGAAACCAATTTGGCATCAGCTAGCAAATTTTTAAAACTAGTCAGGTTTGGTGGCTCACGACTGTAATCTCAACACTTTGGGAGGCCAAGGCAGGTAGACTCTTGAGCTCAGGAGTTTGAGACCAGCCTGGGCAACGTGGTGAAACCCCGTCTCTACTAAGAATACAAAAATTAGCTAGGTGTAGCAAGGCTGTAGTCCCAGCTACTTGGGAGGCTGAGGTGGGAGGATTGGGCTTGAACCCAGGAGGTCGAGGCTGCAGTGAGCTGCGACTGCACCTATAGCCTGGGTGACAGAGTGAGATCCCCAACTCAAAAAAAAAAAAAAAAAAAAAAATTACATGAAAGTTTGGAGGGTAGTTTTCTTTTAGTCAAATCTGTTTATTTGGATTATCTGCATGTTCTTAACCAGCAGGAAATGCTACACAGAGATGAAGAATAAAGACAAAATATTAAAAATTTAAGGTAGGTATTATGTTCTTTGTATAATGTGGATAACAACCATATTGAGATATGGAAAGTAACATGACGAAAGAATCTCTGAGTGTATATCACTCATGGTCCTTTAGGAAATCGATAGTACTTTTTTTAAAAAAGGGAGGCTGCAAAGAGTTTCAATTCTTTTTTTTTTTTTTTTTTTTTTTTTTTTTTTTTGAGACGGAGTCTCGCTCTGTAGCCCGGCTGGAATGCAGTGGCCGGATCTCAGCTCACTGCAAGCTCCGCCTCCCGTTCACCCCTCCTGCCTCAGCCTCCGATACTGGACTACACGCCCACCACCTCCCCCTAGTTTTTTGTATTTTTAGTAGACGGGTTCACGGTTCGCCAGGATGTCTCACTCCTGACCTCGACCCCCTCCCCCCAAGCGGAACAGCGACCCCGCCCCGGCCAAGAGTTTCAATTCTTGAAGGTGTAGGCAGGGTTAAAGGAAACAGCACGGGGTGGTGCACACCCTCAGGTGCTGGCATCTGGCTTTAGGCAGCCATTACCCTCCCTGGCAAGAGGCAATGGAGAAAACACAGAACCAAGTGAGCACTGTCACTTTAGGAGAGGCCACCTGACAGGAGCTGTGGAAAAGCGTGAGCTACTGTCAGACAGAGGCCTGGCAGGGTGGGAACCAGGAGAACAAACGCTGCAGGCCCTTCCTCCTCCTGGCCTTCCATCTGCTGGGGCCTCCCACTGGCCACATTCAATGGGAATCAGAGGCCAAAGGAGCCAGACTGATGCTGTCAATAAAGGCCGGTCTCCTGGGACGCTGAACAAAGATGGGTCGCTCTTGCTCTGCATCCACGGGGTAGATCTGGAAGGGCAACGGATGATTTCATTCAGTGTAATATGCATCTTGGTAATACATTCAGGGCCTTGCTTCATTTCCCCCTTTCTCCAAAAAAAATATTATCACTTTTTCTTTCAAAGTAATTACTTCTGAGGTACTCCTTTTTGGAATGGAAGCCATAGGTCATTCAAATTCCCAATTCTTTTCTTTCCGAGACAGCATCTTTATACGAAAATTGTCATAGCATTACATAGGCTGATTAAAAGAAAAATAAAAGGCTTTCTGAAGACACTGCATTTGCTCATTAAAGTCCAATTAAAAGGCCAGGCACAGGCACTTTGGGAAGCCGAGGCAGGCGGATCACTTGAGGAGTTCGAGACCAGCCTGGGCAACATAGTGAAACTCTGTCTCTACTAAAAATACAAAAATTAGCTGGGCATGGTGGCGCACACCTGTAGTCCCACTTACCTGGGAGGCTGAGGCATGAGAATTGCCTGAACCAGGGAGGCAGATGTTGCAGTGAGCCAAGATCACACCACTGCACTCCAGCTTGAGCAACAGAGCCAGAATCTGTCTCAAATAATAATAACAATCCATTAAAAAGGCAATTTAAAGACAATGACACCTAGAGTATAAGCACATTAAAGAGTATATTATGAGAAATGAATAGTGCATTTTACAGAGAGTGGGTTTTGAAAAATACAAGTTATGTTTGGCCATGCATATACTGGAGGAGAAGGATTCCATTATTTGGTTTTCTTCTTTTCTTTCCTTTGTTTGTTTGCTTGTTTGTTTTTGAGACGGGATGTTGCTCTGTCACCCAGGCTGGAGTTGGAGCACAGTGGTGCAATCTCGATTGGTTCACTGCAGCCTCAACTTACCAGGTTCAAGCCTGATCCTCCCACTTCAGCCTCCCAAGCAGCTGGGACTACAGGTGCGTACCACCATGCATGGCTAATTTATTTTTTACTATTTTATTTTATTTTATTTGAGACGGAGTTTCACTCTTTTTGCCCAGACTGGAGTGCAATGACTTGGCTCACTGCAACCTCTGCCTTCTGGATTCACGTGATTCTCCTGCCTCAGCCTCCTGAGTAGCTGGGTTTACAGGCATGCGCCATCACGCCCGGCTAATTTTGTATTTTTGGTAGAGATGGGGTTTCCCTATGTTGCCCAGATTGGTCTCAAACTCGTGGGATCAAGCGATCCACCTGCCTAGGCCTCTCAAAGACCTGGGATTACAGGCACGAGCCACTGCACCTGGCCCCTTTCTTCTAATAGTGCCTCTCAATCATATACCTCCCACGTCATTTATATTTGGTTAGACAAAGTGACTCCCTCAGATCAACCAGAGATTAATCCTGGAGCTCCAACATGTATTTAAAACTACTGGCCTGATAGTCTAACAACATTGAAGATTACCTAGAGAGAAGCAGATGTTATTTAAACGAATTTCTTGACCTATTTACATGATAAGATTTAATTTCCTTGAAACGCCATTTTGAAAACTGGGATTGGCATCTGTTACAGGTTCTCTAATTAGTTGCTTTCGGATTACTTGGCAAGTAAACGACTATGTTGTTATGAACCCTTCCTGCAGTATATAACCGAACATGAATCTCCATCTTGGGTTTCTTTTTGTAAAGTCTGCATCTGACCCCTTTACACTCTTTTCTGTGTTCACCAAACATGCTCAGGGTTGGAAAAGCTGTTTCAGTAGAGACGGCATATTTCTCACGGCGTTCAGGGGTAGGTACAAGAGTTGCAGACATCCATCGTACGCTGTCCAGCGTCTGCACGTTCCCTTGTTTGCTCCCAGTGGGCAGAGAACCCAGCATTGTGGGTACCTTATTAGAACTGTCAGGAGGTAATATTACATAAGTAATGAAATAACATGTTAATGCAATTCATTACAGGTCCGTTGGAATTTATTGTTCAGGTTATTCCTTTCACTGCTCTGAGAAACATCAGGTATAATAGACTCACCTGAAGCAGGAAGTAAGCATGTAATTTATCAGACAGGCGATGTGGTCTAGTGGATCCAGAATTTGAATATTATTTCTGGCTCTGCTGCTGGCTTCCTTTATGACTAGGAGGGAAATGTCTCTGGGTGTTGCTAGTTTCAGTATCTGTGGATTAATAAGCAGATCGCAAGCATGGATGTTATAATAGGTTATTTCATGGGAAATTAAACACAGCAAGTCTAATGAGGGAGCAGGTTACTTGGTCATTTCTTTCTAGGTGCTATTTGGTGTTTTAAGAGAATATCTAGTATTGGATAAGTTCAGAAAGTGCATCATAACAACATGACTGAGAGCTCAGAATGTGCTACATGGTTCTGAGGGCCGTCTGTGTATTACCTCATTTAATCCCTGCAGCACACCCACCTGGTCATTGCATGATATTGATGCAATTTTACAGATGAAGAAACTGAAGCACATATAGTTAAATAATTTGTCCAAGATCACAAAGCTAGTAAGCAGCAGAACTGGGATTTGAACTCAGGTTATTTAAACTCAGAGCCCCAGCTCTTATTCCCCAGTATTTGACTCCCCTTCGTTCTCACCTGGTGATAGAAAAGATGATGACCAGGCCGGGCACAGTGGCTCACACCTGTGATCCCAGCACCTTGGGAGAATGAGGCAGGTAGATCGCTTGAGTTCAGGAGCTTGAGACCAGGCTGGGCAACATAACAAAACCCTGTCTCTACAAAAAATGCAAAAATTAGCTGGCTGTGGTGGCAGGCCCCTGTCATCCCACTTACTTGGGAGGCTGAGGTGAGGGAGTGGCTTGAGCTCAGTAGGCAGAGGTTGCAGTGAGCTGAGATCATGCCACTGTACTCAAGCTTGGGCAACAAAGCAAGACTCCATTTCCAAAAAAATAAAAATAAAAAAGTATGAGATTTAACTTTTAACTTAGAAATAATTTTCCTTCATCTGATTAGAGAGTATACTCAGGGTGAGATTTAGTGTGTTGTTTTTTGTAGCGACGGGGGTCTCACCATGTTGCCCAGGCTAGTCTTAAACTCCTGGGCTCAAGCGATCCTCCCACCTCAGCCTCCCAAAGTGCTGGGATTACAAGTGAGAGACACTGCACCCGGACTATTTTTCTGTTATTGCTGTGGTGGGGAGCACACCAAAATGGTGCCTGTCATCCTCATCCTTCCTACGCATCTTTCCCGGCACTGCTACTGTGATTAGTATCTTAATTCCAACCTAGGCAGGTGCAGTGCATCAGCGGCTCTCTTCTCCAGCTTCTTTTACCTCAGCCCAAGCCACTCTATAGAAAAGGGCTCCACCCACATCATCTGACCTGTAGGTCTCCACTCTCTCTCCCCAGTTCTCAGATGGTTCTTGGAGCGCTGGGAAAGTCAAGCGAAAATACGGTGGTGAGTTCTCCCCCACTAAATAATTAGACTTTGGCTGATGCTGGCCTTTAGTCATCGAATGCCAAGAAAGTACCGCCCTAACCAGGGAAAAGCAATATCAGATGTAGGCCGTTCTGTTGCCCCTCAACCTCAAAATGCTTGTGGCAAAAGGGACAAACCTCCAATCCGTCTATATTAGGCGTTCAACAGAGTTAACTGAAAACTTGAAACAAATCTGGAAAGAAAAACTCTACAAATAGGGAAAAAAGATGGGTAGCTGAGGATGATAAAGTTAGATTCATTCCCCAGATACGTTGCCATCACCACAGGCAAATCTCAAATTGTTTTCAATGGAGCTTTTGGAAATTTAAATTAGCCCTGTCATTTTCAGGCTCAGTCGTTTGGAATGTGCGTTGGTGAAACGCGGTGATGTAGTTTTGTAGACCGTAAGAATCTTGGGGGCACCTGAATTCTTAAAGTTAGAGATTCATTGTAGGTCTTCTCCTGTTCTCTGAGAAGAAAACCAGACTTCATATAACAAGAAGTGAGACAGAAGAACAGTTTTCAGAAGCATGTGTCACTCTGCTATTTTAGGAATTGTTCCAATAAGAGATGTTTATAGTAAGTTTGGCGTGACCCAGCCAAGAAGCTTAATATAACAAGGTTAACGGAATGGTGGGAGGCAAGGCTCTAGTCTATACCAGCTTGCATTTATTAATAATCAGAAAGGTTGCGGATGAAAGACTTGCTGAGCATTTACTAAATCTGGTGCTTGTGGTTTGCAAATCATTTTATTAACAGCTGCTATCATCTATCCTAGAAATGGCAGGAAGAAGTGGTATTATTTTATCACATAAAATAGTCTTCACAAAGAGAATGAAAACAGTTTAATCTGGCAGATATAAAATTCACTGGTGAAGCAGAAAGCCGTGCTCCGCCCTCCCACTGAGCTCACTAAAGATGGTTTCCTGGGAATGTCTTGGTGAACAGATGTTTCTTCTTAGGTTTTGATGAAGAGTTTAGTGGCATCTAATCATTAGTGAAGGGTTGCTTTGGCAAAAGAAATCTCTTGTCTATCTACAGACATAATTAAAATTTTTTACATATATTAAAGATTTTGCATTAATGAACTACCAATAGGATCTCACATAGGTGAGTTATGATGATTGACTAGCTTTCATAATCAAGTTTTGAATGATTTTAAAAATCAGCCTGCCTGATCTAAGGTTTGGAAGTTTAATGTTCAATAACTAACTTTAGTAAAGGGAGGAAACATTTTTTAAGAAAAAAAACAGTAAGAAAGATAATTACATTGTTAACATAATCTGTTTGGAATTAGAATTTGATTCAGAAAGCTTTCTAGAGAGCCTTTTGAATCACCCTGAAATCTGCCAGTTTTTTCAAGGATGCTGCTTTTGTACCTCTGTATATATCAGACACCTTTCTTTGCAATAAAATGAACTTTCTCAGTGATTGAAGAATATAGATGTTGATAAACACAAATTATGTCATGTTGTTTACATATACATTCCTAAAGAATAAGAAATATTAGACAATATTCATCATACATACATCGTAGATGAACTCATTGAAGTCAGAACAAATGTAGATTTCTATAAGTCCCAAAGAGTATGGATGTCTTAGAGGTTGATGTTGAAGTCTGCAGTTACACCAGTGGTGAAAATCAAATATGTAACGAATAACTTTAGGTAAGAATCAAATCAGACTTGTTTTACAGATGTTGCCATGTGTTAGAGGATTTTACTTGTTACTTTATAGTTTTGGATCAGGCAGATGGTTGAAAAGTGTTGATTCAAGAGCTTTGACTGCATAGAACAAGACAATTGAGGCAATAATAATAATGGGACTCAGAATCTGTAAGCCAAAGCAATGAAGCATAGTTCAATCAAAAGGAGAAATAAAAAAGATTAGCCACATACACAGTATCGATAATCTCTAACATCATTTTACGTTACATTTAGCTCACATGAATCCAAGTGGAAATTCCTATAACTGTTATAGTTCCACTTCTTAATTTTCTGTTTATAACCCTAGAAATAGCAAACAATATGTATAACATTCTGTGCAGTGCATATAATAGCCGCATAATAGATGCTCCTAAATTTTTCCCTAGCCTCACTCCCAAGCTGGGATAATCTCCTATTATAGGTTCTCATGGCTCCTGACTATGTAATTATTTATTTGACATTTTTCAGGTTGTTAGATTTAGCTAAAAAAAAAAAAAAAAAAAAAAATACAAGACACCCAGTAAAATGTGAATTTCCAATAAACAACAAATAATTTTCCAGTATAACTATGTCTTGTGCAACATTTGGGGGCATACTTACACGAAAAAATTAGTCATTGTTTATCTGAGATTAAAATTTTACTGGGCTTCCTAAATTTAACCTGGCAGCTCTAGTGGCTTACTTGTTCATAGCTGTATCTTCCACACACTGGAAGTTTTAGGATACTATTTTCCTCATCATTGTAGCCCCAGTATTTGCACAGGGCTTAGCACTTAGCAGGAATTCAATCAATATTGGCTGACTGCCTAAAGGGATGGATATTAAAACTACTTTAATGTATTAGGTACATTGGCTCGCAGCAGTAATTCCAGCACTTTGGGAGGCTGGGGTGGGTGGATGACTTTAGCTCAGGAGTTCGAGACCAGCCTGGGCAACATGGTAAACCCCGTCTCTACCAAAATACAAAAGGTTAACTGGGCATGGTGGCACGTGCCTGTGATCCTCGCTATTCAGGAAGCTGAGGTGGGAGGATCACTTGAGCCTGGGAGGTGGAGGTTCCAGTGAGCCGAGATTGTGCTACTGCACTCCAGCCTGGGTGACAGAGGGGGCATCATCTCAAAAAAAAAAAAAAAAATGTATTTTAATTAAAATATACAAACTGAGCCAGGTGTGGTAATCCCAGCTACTTGGGAGGCTGAGGCAGGAGGATCACTTGAACCTAGGAGTTTGAGGCTGCGCTGCACTATGATCACCCCTGTGAATAGCCACGGCACTATAGCCTGGGCAACAGAGACCAATTTCTACAAAATTAAAAATAATTAAAAAAAAAACATGGAAAATGCAACTGAGGTTCATAGAACTTGAAAGCAAAAGAAGCACTTCTTTCCATTGGGATATCTACAAGTGTACCATCTTTATGTAGTAAATAATCAGCTAAGATCGCTGAGGGGGAAATTCCTTTTAAAAGAGACTCCAAGCAACTGATTCTCCTAGTACAATTCACTTTCAGTTCTTAATTTTCACTTAATGCCTTTTCAAAGGCAGTTAACTGTACAAAGCAAACTGGGCTTGTATTTTTAAGTATTCTGGCAGATTGCAGCTAATCCTTTCTACCAGGATCTAAAATTAAAATAGAGGTTAAGAGGTTTAGACAGAAGAGACAGGAGATATTTCCAAGCTGCATATGGAGAAGATGACACAAATTTTGAAATCTTTATCACCCCATCTTATTTATTAAACTCCCACCATGTTCTGCTCTAATTAGAAAAAGCAAAACAAGTTAATCACATGCAGCTTTGGTAGCTCATGAAGAGCCTTTGTTTTAAGTGCATTCTTTGTAAGGTTTAGCCTTAACCACCAAGCAGGGTTCACTTAGGCAAGTCAGGAAAGTTCAGAAAACAGACAGTAGAAGAAAGCCTGAGCAACATGGCAAAACCCTGTCTCTACTAAAAATACAAAAAGCTGGGCGTGGTGGTGCACGCCTGTGGTCCCAGCTACTTGGGAGGCTTAGGTAGGAGGATTGCTTGAGCTTGGGGAATTGGAGGTTGCAGTGAGCCATGATTGCACCACTGCACTCCAGCCTGGGTGACAGACCAAGACCCTGTCTCAAAAACAAATAAATGAAAACAGATGGTTAAAGGAGAAAAAATGCCTTGGAAATGCAAGTGGAAACATGTGCCTTATATACTAGGAACATTAATCTAGGTCAGTTACAAATGCCTACAAAGCGAGACTGTTTGTTATGGCTTGAACAGCATACCACATCATCATTCAGTGACAGGAGTAGACAGGATTTGGGAACCTGAGGTTCCAGTTTTGGGGCCTCTTTTAACCTCATGCCCAACCTGTGTCTAAATTTTCTGGCTCTATAAGGGAAAAACGGTCAACTCACATTGAGAACATTGACAGATACTTAACTACTGTTTTGGTGTTTTTTGTTTTTTGTTTATTTTATTTTTTTGAGACAGAGTCTTGCTCTGCTACCCAGGCTGGAGTACAGCAGTGCGATCTCAGCTCACTGCAACCTCCACCTCCTCAGTTCAAGCAATTCTCCTGCCTCAGCCTCCTGAGTAGCTAGGATTACAGGCATGTGCCATCACGCTCTGCTAATTTTTGTATTTTTAGTAGAGACGGGGTTTCATCATGTTGGTCAGGCTGGTCTCGAACTCCTGACCTTGTGATCCGCCCGCCTCAGCCACCCAAAGTGCTGGGATTACAGGTGCGAGTCACTGTGCCCGGCCTTAACTACTGTTTTATAAGGCTCTTTGCTCAACATAGGGAAGTCAGATGTATTCCTGCTAAGTCAGTCAACTGTAGATTTGGAATGCTTTGTATTCAAGGGTGTATTCTGTCATTACTACTGCTGTACTTCTACCTTCCCCCTGGAGCAACTGAGCAGCTCTTATGTATTAAAGGTGGGAAGTTCTCCAGAAAAGGTGGTCCTGAAAGTAGTTGGGAGCCAACAATCACAGCAGCTGGGGGATAAGTCCATAAGCCTGGTAATTATGTACATTATATATAATTGTAGATTATCAGTTGTGCCAACAATAATGTATTGAGTATCTAGAAAAAGTAACATCATGGTTTTGAGTACAAGAATTAAAAGGTATTTTTGAGGAAAAGGCATGTATACACATTGGAAATAATCCAAGAATAGAAGACATTTAATTAAATGTATGTTACAATTATAAATCCTAGAAGAGATCAGAAAGAATGGAGTCCATGATTAAAAACTGATTCTAGAATTTCAAGAGAGGAATGTGTTTTAGGGTTCACATTGAGAGATCATTCTTGTTTTTTTTTTTAACGGAGTCTTGCTCTGTCCCCCCGGCTGGAGTACAGTGGCATGACCCCGGCGCACTGCAACCTCTGCCTCCCGGGTTCAAGCAATTCTCCTGCCTCAGCCTCCCAAGTAGCTGGGTTTACAGGTGCCTGCCACCATGCCCAGCTAATTTTTGTATTTTTAGTAGAGACAGGGTTTCGCCATGTTGGCCAAGCTGGTCTCGAACTCCTGACCTCAGGTGATTCACTTACCTTAGCCTCCCAAAGTGTTGGGATTACAGGCATGAGCCACCATGCCCAGCCAAGAGATCATTCTTGAATAGAGGGAAAGGAGAGTATTGTCAGGAAGCAATGTAAAGGTTGAGAGATGGTCATTAACTTAAGTGGTGAAGGATTCTGTTGGTGGAAACTACACTGGCTAGAACTGGTGGTCATCATATAGAAGGAAGATCAAGTCAGATTCAGAGGATTTTGAGTGTTTTCTTCTTCCCAGTAATTCTAGATACCCCTTCCAATTATAGTGCTTTTAAAATTTCTGTATTATTGTTCATTCTCTATTAGGGGATTAAAAAAAAAGATTCATGGAAATTTCTGTTAATGTCCTAAAAAATCAGTTTTTGAAATCACTAATTCCATAACTATTCAACTATTTTTTTGTAACTATTCAAACTATTTTAACCATTTTCCTAGAGTATTTAAAAAATATCTATCTAATCTAATCTAATCTAATCTAATCTATCCATCCAACCCTCTGTTGCCCAGGCTGGAGTATGTGTGGTGATACCTTCATGGTTCACTGCAGACTGGACCTCCCATACTCAAGTGACCCTCCCACCCCCACCTCCTGAGTAGCGGGAACTACAGGCACACACCACCACACCCAGCCTGTATTATTTTAACTCTTACTAGTTTAGGGAAAATTTTGAGTGTATTTCCAAATTTCCGAGTTACTCCAAGAAGTGAGATTATGCTTCTTTTTTTTTAAAGGTCATATATCTTGCTATGCAATAAAACGATGCTGGAGTCAGACATTCTTTGACTCAAATCTTAGAGCTGTGACGATTAGCAAATTACTTGGCCTCTTTGAGTCTTAGCTTCTCTTTCTATAAAAGGGGGATATTTCCACACAACTGATAGGGTTTATGTGAAGTTTAGACATAATACACATAAAACACCTAATATGGGGCATATTAAGTTCTGAATAGAGGGCAACCAGTACAGTACCAATGGTAGGTATTCAAATGAGTTGTTAGCATCATTGTCACCTGCCCTATTAAAAACTAAAAAGCAATATGGTTATCTAGGCTCTGGAGCTGGACTGCCTGAGCTGCGGCACTTATTGGAGTGACTTGGGGTGTGTTGCTTATTCTCTTTCTGCCAGAGAATGGAGAAAGTAGTAATGTATATCTCAAAAAGTTGTTTTGAGGATGAAATGAGTTGATGGGTATGAAGAGCTTAGTACCATGCCTCATACTTGATAAATACTTTATATATGTTAGCTGTTATTTTCCTGAAATTTGGGGGCCAAAGTTAAATGCGTGGAAAATTTGCTTAGAGCAACTGAACATCTTGTTGTGATCCCTCCAAAGCTGACTTGGAAATAAATCACCTATTGCTAAATTATTGTTAGGAAAATGCTGACTTTTAAATATGTTTATCTACTTTTGCTTACACTTCAGCCACTTCATCTGTATACTTGGAGGAAAGTCAACAATGGCATCTCCAAGGAAGATAACTGAGAAGCGGCATAACCCAGTGGAAAGCATTTGTAGAAAGATCAGAGCCATCCACAAGAGAGAAGCAACTTCAAATCCAGTTCAGCAGATTATCAAATACCAGTCTAGCAGTTTTGATAGCCCACAGACCAACACCAAGAAGGATTTTGAAGAGGTACTGAGGAAAATGACTGCTGCTTGTGTTCCTACGCCTGACTCTCATTGGTCAAGTTCTGAGGAAGTGGATGCCTTCATTTCATCGCCTCAAATAATATCCCCAAGAACCCCATCCATCTCTCACCTCAGCTCCCCTGACACTGCAACATACTCTGTTATTCTCACAAGTTCTGAAAATGTCTTAAAGCTGAAGTCACAGAGCAACAAGAATGATACATCTTTGATGTCACAGATCAGAAAAGCAGAGTGTTTCTCTAACAAGGATTTGAATAACTATTGTAGTGAAAATAATTTTAGTACCTTAACACCTGACTTTGATTCCACTTTTGGTCAAAGTTTGAAGGGTTTTGATCCTCAGGATTCAGTGGTAAAAAAATTATCTCTGAATGGACATGGTAAATATTCATCTTTTAATGTTTGTCCTTCCAGTAGAGCAATAAGCATATATACTTTTAGAATACCTAAACTAAAAAAAAAAAAAAATCTACATTATTAAAGTTTGGATGGAATCATCCATCTTTCCCTTTCTGTTTTAACTATGTTTGTTTCCGGAACAAAGCAGAACATCATGATGGGATTACTTAGATATAGGGGAGTATTTCCCTATATCTAAGGGGAAGGCCATTTATTGTGATAGGTTTTCTTTGTTAAACCACAAAAAGGAAAAGTAATCATTACAGCACAGAAAGCATCAGGATTTACAAACTTTTTCTTCTAGTAGGATGGAAACAAGAAGCTGATGATGGTAAAGAAGATGTAACATACAGCATCAACAGGGCCTGTGAAGAAGAGGCACTCACCAATATTTTTAATGCATGTGACATAAAACAGAAAGGTAAGCTGAAAATTATCTGTTCAAATGTTTGGTAGGACTCGCCAAGTCATCTGAACTTTCTATTGTGAGAGAAAGGGAAATGATTCATATGTGGGGCTCACTGTCTGTGTCTGCATATGTGATGGATGCCACCTAATTTGGGAATAAGGTTTGCTCTGTAGGGTTTGGTTATTTCGCTATAATTTCCCTGTACCTGTTTTGCATCAGCATATTTTAACAGTGACTTGAATGATTCTTTTTGAGCTTATCAGCTGACTTACCATCTTTATTTATTGAAGCTACTTACATGTCACAGCTGGTGACCCACAGGAAATATGCTTTTCAAATATGTAAAACCACTATACAAGTTTAACTCAGAATTTTTAGTTAATTTTGGGCTTTCACTTCTGTTTTTCTTTAATTTTTATTTTTGAGACGTGTTTTTTAAAAAATTTCCAGACCTAAAACTACAAAAACCCTAGGAAATACCATTCTGGACATTGGCCTTGGCAAATAATTTATTAATAAGTTCCCAAAAGCAATTGCCACAAAACAAAAATTGACAAGTGGGACCTAATTAAAGAACTTCTGCACAGCAAAAGAAACTGTCAACAGAGTAAACAATGTACAGAGAGGGAGAAGATATTCACAAACCATGCATGTGACAAAAGTCTAACATCTAGACTCTATGAGAAACTTAAACAATTCAACAAACAAAAAACACCATTAAAAAGTGGGCAAAGGACATGAACAGACACTTCTCAAAAGAAGACATACATGCAGCCAACAAATACATGAAAAAAATACTCATCATTACTAATTATTAGAGAAATACAAATCAAAACTGCAATGAGACACTGTCTCACACCAGTCAGAATGGCTGCTATGAAAAAGTCAAAAACCAACAGATGTCGGTGAGGTTATGGAGAAAAGAGAACACTTACACATTGCTGGTGGGAATATAAATTAGTTCAGCAACTGTGGACAGCAGTGTGGAGATTCCTCAAAGAACTTAGAGCTACCATTTGAGCCAGCAATCTGTCTACTGGGTATGTACCCGGAGGAATATAAATCATTCTACCTGAAAGGCACATACAATTATATGTTCATCACAGCACTGTTCACAATACAACAGACATGGAATCAACCCAAATGCCCATCAACAGAAGACTGGATAAATAAAAAGTGATACCTACACACCACGGAAGCCAAAAAAGGAAACAAGGTCATGTCCTTTGCTGCAACATGAATGCAGCTGGAGGCTATTATCCTAAGCGAACTAATGCAGGAACAGAAAACCAAATACTGCATGTTCTCAATTTTAAGTGGGAGTTAGACATTATATATACATGGGAACAGTAGATACAGGGACTACTTGAGCAGGGAGGCATGGGCTGAAAAACTACCAATCATGTATTATGCTCAGTACCTGGGTGATGGGATCATTTGTACACTAAACCTCAGCAACACGCAATTCACTCATGTAGCAAACCTGCATATATACCCCCTGAACCTAAAAGTTGAGAGAGAAAAAAAAATTCCACAAGTAATTTTAAGTATATAACTGATTCATGCTCATTGTAATAAAATTAATAATATACTGACAAGCAAAAAGAAGGAAAAATATTGGTAATCCTGTTCCCCTGAGTTCATTGTTAGTGATTTGTTGTATATCTTTCCACAACTCCTGTCAATATGGTTTTGTTTTATTTGAATTCATAATTTTTTTGTTATAGAACATTTTAAACATATACAGAGGTAGAATTATATGATGAACCCTTATATATGTGTCATAACCAATTATGTCTCATTTCTAACCCTGCTCATTTTCCTCTCCTCTACTCTGGATTATTTGGAGGCAAATCCCAGAGATCACAGTATTTCATTCATAAATATTTCAGTAAAGATAATTCTAAAAGATAATTGACTAATTTAAAACACAACTACAATGCCATTATCATGATTTTGAAAGTCATATACTTTTCTAATATTATCAAATGTCTTGTTAGTAGTCAAAATTTTTCATTTGTGTGATAGATACATATCCTTTTTTCCTTAAACAGTTTTACTGTTCAAGCCAATATCCAAGAAAGATTTGTTCATTGCAGTTGGTTGTCTGCCTTATCTCTGTTTCGCTTTCCATCTGTTTTTTGCATTTTGTTGTCTGTTAAAGAAACCCATCCATTGATTGATTAATTAATTGAGACAGAGTCTCACTGTTGTTGCCAAGGCTGGAGTGCAGTGGTGTGATCTTGGCTCGCTGCAACCTCTGCCACCCGGGTTCAAGTGATTCTCCTGCCTCAGCCTCTCAAGTAGCTGGGATTTCAGGTGCCCGCCACTACACCCAGCTGTTTTTTGTATTTTTAGTAGAAATGGGGTTTCACCATGTTGGCCAGGCTAGTCTCAAACTCCTGACCTCAGGTGATCCACTCACCTCGGCTTCCCAAAGTGTTGGGATTAGAGGCGTTAGCCACTGCACCCAGCCCATTCTTTTATTTCTTAGTTTACCACAATCTGAAATTTGGTGATTGTGTATCTGTAGGAACACAACCTGTTTCTCTGTCTCCTATATTTAGAAATATAATCAGATAAAAGTTTGAGGGTTTTTATTTATTTATTTATTTGTTGTTTTGTAGGGGGGCAAGAATTCTATTAGGTTGGTACAATTGTGACTGGAGTTTTTACCATTGAAAGTAATGGCAAAAACCACAACTACTTTTGCATCAACCTAAATACATAGATGGTGTTATGTGTTTTCAACAGAAGGCAACTACTGATGATGAAGGCCTAGACTTATATTTTCATTAGATGTTGCAAATGGTAATATTCTATCATTCCTTCCAAATGTATCACCTGAAATACATCTATAATGAGAAATTCTACTCTGCTTTATCAACTATTTTGCTATACTGGTGTCCTGAAGGAGAGAGGCAGGATAAAAGATTCATTGATTCTCTTTATCTACCAGTTTTAAAAATACTAAATTGAGGCTAGGTGGGGTGGCTCATACCTGTAATCCCAGCAGTTTAGGAGGCCGAGGTGGAGGCTCTGCTTGAGCCCAGGAGTTTGAGACCACTCTGGGAGACATGGTGAAACCATGTCTCTACTAAAAATAGAAAAATTTAGGCTGGGTGCAGTGCTTCAAGCCTGTAATCCCAGCACTTTGGGAGGCCGAGGTGGGCAGATCACTTGAAGCCAGAAATTTGAGATCAGCCTAGTCAACATGGTGAAACCCCATCTCTACTAAAAATATAAAAATTACCCAGGCATGGTGGCACACACTTGTAATCCCAGCTACTAGGGAGGCTGAGGCATAAGAAGTGTTTTAACTCAGGAGGTGGAGGCTGCAGTGAGTTGAGATGGTGCCACTGCACTCCAGCCTGGGAGACAGAGCGAGACTCCATCTCAAAATAAAAGAAAAATTAGCTGAGCAACATAATTGCTAAAGATAGTTTAAGATATTTTCTTGGTCATCCTTTTTTTGTTTTAAATGATATACTAATGTATTCTCTGGTATGTGTGAGAATGTTTTCAAACTTGTTTTATAATCTGCTTTTTCTCATTTAATAATTTGAGTACCTGTCTTCACATAAAAAAATTTTCTTCATATCCTATACCATTTTTTGAGGTAACACGTTTAACCAGTCCATCTTAATTGAATATTATTTTTTTTCTGCTTTAAAGATTATAATATGCCAGGCATGGTAGCTCAAGCCTATAATCCCAGAGATTTTGGAGGCCAAGGCGGGAAGATCACTTGAGGCTAGGAATTCAAGACCAGTCTGGACAACCTAGCAAGACCCTGTCTCTACAAAAAAATATTGTAAAAATTAGCTAGGCATGGTGGCACACGCCTGTAATCCCAGTTACTTGGAAGACTGAGATGGGAGGATGCCTTGAGCCCAGGAGGCTGAGGCTGCAATGAGCTATGATCATGCCACTACATTCTAGCCTGGGCAACAGAATGAGACTCTGTCTCAAAAAATCCCAAAACTGTAATAAATATTTTACATATAAAATCACTATATTGAGCATTTGTAGCAAAATATTTGTCTGTACCCTTATTTATTTCTTTAGGATGAGTGGGGCTTATTTATTCCCAGAGAGCTCCTCTGCTTGGACAGGATTTAAGAAATTAATTCTCTGAAGAAAATAAGAAAGCTTCACTGAAGGGAAATAGGATGTGTATTAGCCAGGGCTCTCCGGTGGGAAGAGATATTTATATTTGTATCTATCAGTTTAATCTAGCTAGCTAAAGAGACTTGTCATAAGGAATTGGGTCATGCGATCATGGGGGCGGGCAAGTCCCAAGATATGCAGGGTGTCAGCAAGCCAGAGATTCAGGAGATTCAATGGTTTAGTCCCATTCCAAGTCCACAGGCCTAAGAACCAGGAGAGCTGCTGGTGTAGTTCCCATCCAAAAGCCACCAGGCTTGAGGCAAGGAAGAGCCAACATTTCAATTCAAGTCTAGAAGCAGGAAAAAAAAAAAAAAAAAAAAATCAACATCACAGTTTGAAGGTAGGCAGGCAGAAGAGATTCTCTGTTACCTGGGAGAAGGTCAACTTGTTTGTTCTGTTCAGGCCTTCGACTGGTTGGATGAGGCCCACCTGAATTAGGTGGACAATCTGCTTTACTTGGTCTATAGATTTAGATGATAATGTCATCCAAAAATACCCTCACAGAGACACCCAAAATAATGTATAACCAAATATCTAGGTACCCCATGGCTCAGGTTAACACATAAAATTAACCATCACAGGAAGCCTTTCTAGTTTTGATATGACAGAGGGCTTAGAGTTTTAGTGGAGGAAAATATGATAAATGGATTATTGCTGGCTTTCCAGCTTGCTTTCCAGTTCTTCTACAAATAAAAAATGCAATTCGCTGCTGGGTACGGTGGCTCACACCTGTAATCTCAGCACTTTGGGAGGCCCAAGCAGGTGGATCCCTTAAGTCCAGGAGTTCAAGACCAGCCTGGGCAACATGGCAAAATCCGATCTGTACAATAAATACAAAAATTAACTGGGTGTGGTGGCACATGCCTGTAGTCCCAGCTACTAGGGAGGCTGAGGTGGGAGGATCGCTTAAGGTCAAGAGATTGAGGTTGCAGTGAGCTGGGAGCATTCCAGCTGAGCAACAGAACAAGACCCTGTCTCAAAAAAAAACAAAAAAAAAACAAACAAAAAAAACCGTACAGTTCTCTCTCTAAATAACTGTATTAGTCAATTTATTTATCTTTCTTTCTTTCTTTTTTTTTTTTTTTTTTGAGACGGAGTCTCGCTCTGTCGCCCAGGCTGGAGTGCAGTGGCGCGATCTCGGTTCACTGCAAGCTCCGCCTCCCGGGTTTACGCCATTCTCCTGCCTCAGCCTCCCGAGTAGCTGGGAATACAGGCGCCCGCCACCTCGCCTGGCTAGTTTTTTTGTATTTTTTAGTAGAGACGGGGTTTCACCGTGTCAGCCACGATGGTCTCGATCTCCTGACCTCGTGATCCACCCGTCTCGGCCTCCCAAAGTGCTGGGATTACAGGCTTGAGCCACCGCGCCCGGCCTATTTATCTTTCTAATACTGTAACATCTAAATGACATGCTGAAGTTTAAATAACATTAAAGTTATTAATAACTTTGAAGTTATTCAGCCTCCTTTATGAGTATCTCCTCCTTCTAATTATGAGATTTTTTTTTCTGATGTCATGGTCTATCCTTATTTCCTTAAGGGAAGAACCATCTCTGGGGCATATGCCCTTTCAAACTTCTACTTAATTTTTCCCTCTCCTTTGCAAGTAGCCAGCCCAAGGCAGGCCTTTGATGGGAGTAAAAGAAAAGTCTTATGTTTAAAAAAGATTGGTGCTTCAATGACTAACATAGTTTGGATGATTTTATTTTCTGAATGTGATAGTAGGGATGACTGTCTAAAAATGCCACCTCCACCCCCTAAAAAGTAGAAATTTTCACTTGAGATTGAAATTTTAACTGCAGCAGAGAAAAAACTTCCTTCATTGAATGCTTTTTAAGGAACTGAAAGGAAAAAAATGTAATGTTATTTTGGTCACGTCTCACGAGAAATTATTGATTACGTATATCATCAATATTGAAAGCTCACAGCTCTGTGTGATAGGTATCATCGTCCCCATCTCAGATAAAGAAACAGGTTCAGAGAGGTTAAGTAATAGTCCCAAAGCTACACAGCTGGTAATCTTCGGAGCCAAGATTTGACACTAGGTCCATTAGACTTGAGCCCAAAGCCAGTGTTCTTTACACTGTAACATGCCAGCTCCACAGGACTGCCAGGGTTCTATAGCATGTTTCTAGGATCAGGAGACATGAAAGAGATAGGTACTTCACTTGTTAAAAATATAACTTTCTCCATCTTTCAGAACTGATCTGCTCTTCTTTTTCCAAAGGCTCAGTAGGAGTGGCCAAAATAATTGATTTCCTGAGACAGACAACTAGCCAAAATTCTGAAGACAGTGGCCTTGAGCAGTTGTGGAACATGCTTGATCCTGAGAAGAGAGACCCACATGTGGACCTGGAAACTTTCCAGGCCATGATGAAAGAATCGATGGCTTACTGTGGAAACAAATGGTAATCAGAGTCCTAGTGGGATGCAGTTTAAGGTTCTATTTTAACAATTGATTATAATTATGCTAATTACTGTTTCCTGTGTCGATGGAAATACTATCATCCATAATGCGCTGTAGCGTGCATTAGAATCACCTGAATGATGTTAAACCTGATTGCTGGGGCCCCACCACTGTGATTCAGTAGATCCGGGGTGAAGCCTGATAATTTACATTCTAACAAGTTTCCGATGATATTGATGCTGGGAGTGGGCTGGACATGCTTTGGGAACTACTGCTGTCATTCATTTCTTGTGATTAGTGGGGAGCACATGTTATATTCTCACAGAGAATTGAGCTGATATATGAGTCAGGTGAATTATTAATACTATCAAATCACCAAATGTATTTAAATTCAATAATAGACTCCTTTTTAAGAGCAGTGGGACTAGTCAGTGAATGTGATTTGGAATCCTAGAATATAGGGAGGCTAAGGGGAAAAAGAAAGAATGGTAGAATAGGAAAAAGAAAAAGGTAAAGGAGGAGAAAAGCATCCATGATCTCAGGTGCCCTTGGCAGATGCTGGAGATGTGTATCTTCTTCCACAGAAAGCGAATTCCTCTTTTTTTTTTTTTTGCGATGGAGTTTCACTCTGTTGCCCAGGCTGGAATACAGTGGTACAATCACTGCTCACTGCAACCGCTGCCTCCTGGGTTCAAGTGATTCTCCCACCACACCCTCCAGAGTAGCTGGAATCACAGGTGTGCGCCACCATGCCTGGCTAATTCATGTATTTTTAGTAGAGATGGGGTTTCATAATGTTGGCCAGGCTGGTCTCGAACTCCTGACCTCAGCTGATCTGCCCACCTTGGCCTCCCAAAGTGCTGGGATTACAGGTGTGAGCCACCTGCTGCACCTGGTCAAGAAGCCTAATTCCTATGCCTCCTATTCAGCCACCAATCTTCACCTATCTGCCGATGCATACTAGGATTTGCTTGAAGAAAATGTCGACTGGGCACGGTGGCTCACACCTGTAATCCCAGCATTTTGGGAGGCTGAGGAGAGTGGATCAGCTGAGATTGGGAGTTGGAGACCAGCCGGGCCAACATGGTAAAACCCTGTCTCTACTAAAAATACGAAAATTAGCTGGGCATGATGGTGCATGCCTGTGATCCCAATCACTTGGGAGGCTGAGGTGGGAGAATTGCTTGAACCCAGGAGGCGGAGGTTGAAGTGAGCCGAGATTGTGCCACAGCACTCTAGCCTGGGCAACAGAGTGAGACTCCATCTCAAAAAAGAGAAAATGTCAAGCCCAAGGAATGGAAAAACTTACCAGATTTCTGGTAGGATTAGGATGTATAGATAAGAAAATATGACTGAAATGTTGCATGCCACACACAGGTTATTCATGAAGGCAAGATAAATATATAGAAATAAGTAATGTTAGTGTAATCAAAAACTGCAAATACAGATAATATATCATTTTTACCCATGGGTTTAATGAAGATTTTAAAAAATGACTGTATCCCATGTTGTGGGCTGTGAAAAGGGTGGACAAATAAGCCCTCCCATATATCACTGGGAGTAGTGCAAGTTGGCATAGTTTTTTTAAAGAGCAATTTAGGAATGTGTATCAGGCCCTTAAAAATATGCGGTCTTGGCCAGGTGTGGTGGCTCATGCTTGTAATCCCAGCACTTTGGAAGGCCAAGGTGGGAGGATCACCTGAGGCCAGGAGTTTCAGACCAGTCTGGGCAACTTAGCAAGATCCTGTCTTACAAGTAATTAAAAAATTAGCCAGGTGTGGTGGCATGCGCCTATAGTCCAGGCTACTTGGGAGGCTGAGGAAGGAGGATTGCTTGAGCCCAGGAGTTTGAGGCTGCAGCGAGCTGTGACAGAGCCACTACACTTCAGCCTGGGCAAGAGAGTGAGGCCCTGTCTCCAAAACAAAAACAAAAACCAAAGGCAGCCTCTTTGAGAAGTAATGTAACTTTAAGAAAGATAATTAATTGTAAACACTAATATAGAAGGTAGAAGGTAGTTTATGACAGTGATAAATAAAAGCAATCTAGATATTTAAAAAGAAACAATTGGACAAATTATAGTACTTCCATACACTAGAATACTAGTCATTCAAAGTAATAATATTTGATAAGAGAAATTCATATGTAATTACTTCACATAAATAGGTCATAGATCTGTACATGTAGTATAATCCCATTTTTGGAAGAAATAAAAATATGCATAGGAAAATGTTAGAAAGAATTTATGCCAAAATGATTATTTTTGCATAATGGTTTTAATTTTTTGTTTTCTTATGAATTTAATATTTCTAAAATATGTAGGTTTGTATAATAAAGATATTAATAAGTATAAAACAGCATGAAAAAAGAAAAAAACCATTTTTATAACAAGTATAAAGGAAAAAACATGGGCGGTAGAAATACAGAAGAGCAGAAACTCAGACATGGGGATGGACGTGAACACAGGAAGTCAGAACACTGAGTTCTTTCATTCCCCCAACGTGTGACAGATATCTCACAATGACAAACAATGAGATGTAAACATATATTTTTGAATTTTGTGGCTGCTCCAGAGAGGTGCTTAGGTTAAGTAACAAAACTTGAATTATAATATAAGACTCTGAAAGGAAATGGTTGAAATGTTAATATGTTTATTTTGCAGTTCAAGCTAGAGTGTGTGTGCTGCACACCCTGTACAGAGGGCTTCCCAGATTCCAGAAGTAAAATGCTCGAAGTAAAATTAGTCGAGGTTCTATTTGTTTCTCCATGAGAAAGGGAAAATGTATCCCTGTCAATATATCCCAAAGTATTCGTTGTTCATGTATTTCCTTCTCAATCTCTTAAGCCCCATGATCTTGCAACCTCCACAAATCTCCACTTACCACTCCAACCTATGTCTATTTCCTAATCCACCGAGACCCCACATCTCCTAATCATACGCTGCCTACGTGTTTTCTTTTTCATATTAACTAAAAGTGTATGGATGGTGGAGGAATGCCTAATGTACCACCTACATTAGAAACAGTTGCACTAGGAACACAAATTCTTTTCTATCACTCTAAGTACCTAGCATAGGACTGGGCTCCAAATAGTTGTTGAATTAATATGTATTTTTTTAACTCAGAAGGAAATACCTGAAAAGGAAAGTACAGAGCATAAATCTAAAAAAAAAAAAAAAAAGAGGACAAAACTGTGGTCAGGCAAAGAATCCTAGCTCACTGGTTTTGGTTTTTTTTCGCTACAGGGAAGGAGTGAATCATAGATTAAGCAGCATCATTGATGATTCTGTTTTTGAACAGGATGGCATAAAATCAGATGGAACAAGTATGTATGTGTTTCTTCAGGATTGTTCTGTTTTCTTACGGTTTGGAGAAAATGATTTTCTTTTCATAAAACTCTTGTATGTGTTTCAGTGAAGATGAGCACAGATACAACAGATTCTACGTCGGGGAGCTTCGAGGCTTTGGGAGGAGACACATCTAAAGGAGTCTTGTAAGCCTTACTCTGCTTTCGCAAGTGTTTCAACTTCATTTTTCTTGTTTATATAAATCTATGTATTTCAGTTATGATAAAGTCACTTTGCTCTTTTTTTGCAGTAAACATAATTGATTTTAAATTCTTAACTGATTCTAATAACGCCTGCATTACAGTTTCACTAGGAACACAAATTCTCGTGTGACTAGTAATCCAAAAATCACTTGCTCTCTCATGAAGCCCTTCTCCTTCATTAATTTCATGAGCTTCTTGTAGGGAAAAAGTTCCACTTGAAGTAGGGTTATGATATTGACCTTAAGCTCTTTTGGAAATTATTTTAAAGCACTTCTTTAGTAGAATCTTTTAGACATGAATGAGAAAAGCTGTTTCCCATGACATGTGTAAGTTTTAGATATTAAGGAGAGTGGTTCTGCCTCTCCCTTATTTTATCTTTGCCACTTCGGGTTTATCCATAAAGAAAAGTGGTGTGGGCTGGGCGCGGTGCCTCATGCCTGTAATCCCAGCACTTTGGGAGGCCGAGGTGGATGGATCACTTGAAGTCGGAAGTTTGAGACCAGCCTGGCCCACATGGTGAAACACCGTCTCTACTAAAAATACAAAAATTAGCCGGGCATGGTGGCACGTGCCTGTAATCCCAGCTACTTGAGAGGCTGAGACACGAGAACGGCTTGAACCTGGAAGGTAGAGGTTGCAGTGAGCTGAGATTGTGCCACTGCACTCCAGTCTGGGCGACGGAGCCAGACTCTATCTCAAAAAAAAGAAAAGAAAAGAAAAGTGCAGTGGGAACTATGTTCTCACTGAGCTAGGCCCTGGGATAAGATAGCAAAAAAGAAAAGGAGGCCTGGGGCTCCATGAAACACACAGTCCAGACTCTGAAAGGATTTGTGAACTGATGTCATGGCAGATGATGCTCATAAACATTGACAAGTTATACAAAACATTAGGAAAGATGAGTCTGAATTGTGAGCCACAGACTACAATGATAAGACTCTAGGAATTGTTTCCTAGGGAAACCTGCCGAGATTCCTTCACAGAAAGAATATAGGCTGGGCAGGGTGGCTCATGCCTTTAATCCCAGCACTTTGGGAGGCTGAAGCGGGTAGATCACTTGAGGTCAGGAGTTCAAGACCAGCCTGGTCAACATGGTGAAACCCCATCTCTACTAAAAACACAAAAATTAGCCGGGTGTGGTGGCGGGAGCCTGTAGTCCCAGCTACTCTGGAGGCTGAGGCAGGAGAATCACTTGAACCTGGGAGGCGGAGGATTGTGCTACTGCACTCCAGCTTGGGCGACAGAGCAAGACTCTGTCCCAAAAAATGAAAAAAAAAAAAAAAAGAATATCGTGTCCATTTATTTCAGAATCTCTCATATTCCAGGCAAAAATAGGAACTCTTCAGTTTAGAAGACAGATGTTGAGAGTCAGGGGGAAAAGAATCAACAAAAACTGGAAGTTGATTTTACAACTGGCAAATGATGGCTACTTGGAAATTTTGGGAAACATCTTTGACGCTATTGTAATAAACATCTGAATAACTGTTGTATCAATCGATTATGTTTATGATGACAGATGAGGGTAAAGTTAAAAAAAAAAAAAAACTCACCAGAATATCAAAATTTGGTTTGTTTAACCATATACCTTATTTTATTGGAAGGCATTAGTGACATGAAGGTTATTTTCATCTATTCTTTCGCTTGCAGAGAGGTGTCTGATTTGATTGCCTACGTAGCAGACCTTCATTTCAACAAACAAAAACTTGAAGAAGAAAATAATAAGTTGAAGTTGGCTTTAGAAAACCTGGAAGAAACTAACAGCCAGTTATCAGAGGACTGTACCGAATTGCGCCTTCAGGTAAAAAGGTGAGCCACAGTAGGGTCTGGTGTGCTGGGAACTTTCAGTTCTTTTTTCTTTTTAAAAATACCTTTTAAAAATTGAGAGTCACATAGTATAAAATTCATTCTCAAAGTATACAATTCAGTGTTTTTAGAGTATATTCTCTGCTTGGGCATGGTGGCTCATGCCTGTAATCCCAGCACTTGGGGAGACTGAGGCAAGTGAATCACTTGAGGTCAGGAGTTTGAGACCAGCCTGGCCAACATGGTGAAACCCCATCTCTACTGAATATACAAACATTAGCTGGGCATGGTGGCACGATCCTGTAATTCCAGCTATTCCGGAGGCTGAGGCAAGAGAATCGCTTGAACCTGGCAGGTGGAGGTTGCAGTGAGCCAAGATTGTGCCATTGCACTCCAGCTTAGGTGACAGAGCAAGACTCTGTCTCAAAACAAAACAAAACAAAAAATTGAGTATATTCTCAAGGTTGTGCAATCATCACCATTATCCAATGCCAGGATATTTTCATCACTCCAAAAAGAAACTCCATACTTATCAGCAGGTACTCTCCATTTCCTCTCTTCTTAGCCCCTGGCAACCTCTATTCTACTTTCTGTCTCTATAGATTAGCCTATTCTGGGCATTATACATAAATGGAATCATACAATATGTGAACTTTTGTGTGTAGCTTATTTCGCTTAGCATAATGTTTTTAAGGTTCATCCATGTTATAGTGTGTATTACTACCTCATTTCTTTTTATGGCTGAATAATATTCAATTGTATAGATATATCAGATTTTGTTTATCCGTTCTTCAGATGATGGACATTTGGGGTGTTTCCACTTTTTGGCTATTAGGAATAATGCTGCCATGAACATTCATGCATGAGTTTTTGACTGGGAATGTTTCTTTCATTCTTTTTTTTTTTGGAGACAGGGTCTCACTTTGTCACCCAGGCTGGAGTACAGCGGCATGATCTCAGCTCACTGCATGCAACCTCCATCTGCTGGGCTCAAGTGCTTTTCCGGCCTCACCCCCTCTCCCCCAAGTAGCTGGGACTACTGGCACGTGCCACCATGCCTGGCTAATTTTTGTGTTTTTGTAGAGACAAGGTCTTGCCATGTTGCCCAGGTTGGTCTTGAATGCCTGGTCTCAAGTAATCTGCTCACCTCGTCCTCCCAAAGTGCTGGGATTATAGGAGTGAGCCTCCATGCCCAGTCATATGTTTCACTAAAGCATTCTCATCCTCAAAATCTTTGACCTTGTCTAGTCCAGTCTCCAAACTAATCTTTAAAAAAGTTGCTTACCTCAAGTCCTCTTCATTTCACAATGGCTTATTTATTACTTAACTGAAATATAACAATTCAAAGTTTCTTTAACAAAACTGCTTTGAATGAATGGGTTGGTCAGGATTTTTGGTTGGAAGCACTGGAATCTAACTCTGGTTAAATAAGCAGTCAAGAAACATATCTGAAAGGAATTAAGTAACTCACATAACGGACAGAAAGACTGGAGAATCCAGATGGGCAATCAGAACGCCACTGTCTACAAAATTAAGCCACGTGTCTTTCTCTTTTCTCCTTCCCCTAATCCTTTCTGAAGAGTGTCTGTTTCCTTTGGGTTCCCGCAACCTAGTTTTGATACTGTCTAGTTGTCCCATCATAGTGTAATTTGTTTTCTGTATTAAATGTTTAGGCAGGAGAGTTCCCTTGACCCCCTTGTGGGACTTGCAACAAGGATGCTTGTTTGCTCAGCTGCCACGCTCCAAACCCTTGAAGGAGGGGGAGCATGCAGCTGAGCAGGTGTAGGAGCTGGCGTGAGTGCCTTTGGGTGCCAGCAGGCACAAACCCTGTACCAGCCTGTGGCAGCATCTAGGGGTTGCCCACAACCTCTGGAGCCCCAGAGGGCATGTGTTACAAGTAATACTCTTTTAGCATTTGCCATCCATGGACAGCTAAGAGTTAAACTAGCTCAGTGGAGGATCAAGGTGACAGCCTTTTTCATCCTGCCCTCTTGGTACCTGGGTTCTTGTCCAACATCCAGGAAGAATCAGGTCACACAGACTTGAAGGATGGTGAACGTGGAGGTTGTATCGAGTGGTGGATGTGGTTCTCAGCAGGATGGGGAGCTGGAAAGGGGATGGCCTGGAAAGATAATCTTCCCCTGGAGTTTAGCTGTCCCAGCCAAACTCCTGCCCGACAGTCCCTGGCCAAACTCCTCTCTGACTTTAGTCTCTGATGTCCAACTGCCTCTCCTCCTCTTGACATTCAGAGCTTCTTCTCTTTTCTCCTTCTATTTCATGCTGCTCTGCTCCTCTGCCAGTGGAGCTTGGAGTTTTTATGGGTACAGGATAGGGGCGTGATGGGCCAAAAGGCAACATTCAGGTGGGAAAACGGGGATGCAAAGTTCTCATTTAGGGCCATGGGTCCAGGCTTGAGGATGGAGCCCTTGCCAGGGACCCTGCCCTTTTCTACCTAGTATTTCCCTGCCTCCTGTTTATATCACTGTAACCTCCTTGATGGGAGGAACTATGTCATATTCATCCTGTTTAGCCTAGTGCTTAGTAGAATATCTACTGTAGAACAGCACTACCTTCCTTCCAGTTGCCTACAAGCCGGAAACCCTTATCTCTTTTGATTCTTTTCATACTGTATTGTCATTATGATTGTCTGTTTACTCCACTAGGCTATAAACTCCAGATGAGTAGAGTTCTCTGGATTCAGTCATTCTTCCCTTCTTTGATGCCTAGCTCAGTGCCTGGGACAGGTTCAGCCCTCAATTAGTATTTGTTAAATGATCAATGTAATTTCTTAGGAAAAAAAGTATATCTTCTTTGAAGCCTTTGTTCCTAAGGGAACAGTCTATAATCTAGTGGGAGCTGCAAATAGGTAATTTCATGATATGGATTACCATAATTTATTTAATCAGTTTCCTGTTGGTGGATGTTTAGGTTTTTTTCCCATGCTTTGTTATAATCAACAGTATGATAAACTTCTTTATAGGATATGTCGTATAGAGACTTGGTAATTATTTATTTGTTTAGTTGTCATATCTCTCCATAGTATGTAAGCTTTATAAGACCAAGGACCATGTCCCTTTGTTCACCATTGTAGCCTGCATTGTAGAGCACCTAGAACATGGTATTATTCAATAAATATTTGTGGAACAGCATTAACTAACATTACGTCTTAGTAGGGGGAAAGAACCAGGTGATTCAGCCAATGATGAATTTCAAAGGGATCCTCTAAATCTTTAGCTTCAGGAATACATTTGTCTGTTTTCCCCCTAGTCTCCATTCCCCACTCCCCACTTTCTCCAAATTCCTTCCTTTTCCAAGGACTGAAAGATCATGGGTATATTTTTACTATTGTGGGCATCTGGTTTAAGCCTTTAGTGGTTTTCAACTTGGGTCCAAAATAGTCCTTGGCTGTTCTTAGTGTCTTTGACGGTTATATTTGAGGTTTTGCTCATGGCCTTCTCCCCCCACCCCCACAGTGCCCACCAAGCTATTATGAGAACAAATCTGTTAAAAGAAGAACTGGAGGAACTGAAACTTAGTATGAATGCTTCAGAAGAGCAGAAGAGCATGATTGTAGCCCAGAGCAAACAATTAGTAAGTCATCTATTATAGTACTTTGAATTTGGCATATAATTTACATAACTGAAATATACAAGAGGACTTATCTGGTGGAACATCAGAAGTCAATAGGCTGATGAATGAATTGGTAAGACTTTAGAAAAGTAAAGGCAGGTAGGATTTTTTTAAATCTGTGCTTTTCTTTTCTTTCTTTTCTCTTTTCTTCTTTCTTCTTTCTTTTTCTTTTCTTTTCTTTTCTTTTTTAGTTTTTTTGAGACAGGATCTTGCTCTGTTGCCCAGGCTGGAGTGCAGTGGCAGGATCATGGTTCACTCCAGCCTCGACCTCCCAAGCTCAAGGGATCCTCCTGCTTCAGCTTCCAAAGTGTTGGGATTATAGGCGTGAGCCACTGTGCTTGGCCTCCTTTTCAATCAAGATTTAAATTTTTTACATGTTTCTCAGTCACATTCACAATAGTTTGTGAAAATCCAGAAAATATTTGGAATGCCTCCTAAAGTCAATAGGAGAATTCAAAAATATCTGATACTAAAAACCACTTGAATTTAAAAACATCTGTGAAACTTTCACCTTTTTTCTCAGATTAAAAAAAAAGTCAGTTCTCTCAGTACTTACAGGTTACTGAGAAGCCCCATAAATCATTCCTTATGCTAAATAAGCACAGGCTTGTAATTTCAGAGCGAAAGACTCATTTAGACTAAACTTTAACTCAGATGCCAGAGAAGTGATCATTTTTATTGAGAAGCTTCAACTGTTGAATAGAGAATTAGTAATAATCTTCAGAATCCTGATAGATTCCAGCAGTACTCTAGCATGGTTAACTGTGGTAAGAAGTGGCTGAAAGTCATTCCGACTAATTTGTTTCAGGTATCAGTTGCAAAACTGTTGTTAGTCTCTAAATCACGGAGAGACTTGGTTCCAGCCCTATGGCGGTCCCTTATGACCTCCCACAAACAAAATAACCTCGTTTAGCTTAGCTCTTGCCTCAGTAGTAAAATGTGGGGACTAGCCCATTGAATACCAGGTCTTCTGTGACCCTGCAAGTCTATATGGATGCATTATAGGAAAGACTCAATCTGGGACCACTGAGGAGCTTCTAACTGAAGGCAATGGAGAGAACTGGTCAAGAGCCCACGCTTGGGAGTCAGACTGCCTGCATTCAAGTTCTGGCTCCAAGGGCTGTGTGACTTTAGCCCTGCTACATAATCACTCTAAGCCCCTGGGTCCTCCTAGATAAAATGGAGATAACAATACTACTTACCCTAAGGCTGGGAGGGATAAATGAGCTAGCGCATGTAAAGCATTCAATGTCCTTTTTTTCCTCTTAGGTGTTGGTAATGTGAAATTGCTATTGATTAAAGTGCAGAATTTTGGCCTGCACGGTGGCTCATGCCTGTAATCCCAGGACTTTGGGAGGCTGAGGCAGGTGGGTCACTTGAGGTCAGGAGTTCAAGACCAGCCTGGCCAACATGGTGAAACCCCGTCTCTACTAAAAATACGAAAATTAGCCAGGCATGGTGGTGCACAATTGTAATCGCAGCTACTTGGGAGGCTGAGGTGGGAGGATCGCTTGAACCTAGGAGGTGGAGACTGCAGTGAGCCGAGATTGTTCCACTGCATTCCAGCGTGGGTGACAGAGTGAGACTTGGTCTCAAAAAATAAATAAATAAATAAATAAATAAAAGGAAAGTGTAGAGTCCTAGATACAGAACCCTAATCATTTGCAATTTGTAGTGCTTTATAATTTCAAAAGATTTAGTTCATACTTCATCTCATAGGTAATAATAGAAAATCTGTAAGGTAGAAACAGAAGTTGCTGTGTTTTTGTATACTAAAAAATGTAATAGAGCAATAAAGTTCAGAGAAAGTTTTTAATTGTTCAAAGTCCATTGTCTAATAAATGATAGATCTAAATTAACCATTCTGTGGTGTATATGTACTTCAGAACATCATATTATACATGATAAAACCGTATGATGTTATTTATCTGTCAATTTTTTAAAAAAATGGTAGGGCCGCCGGGCGCAGTGGCTCATGCCTGTAATCCCAGCACTTTGGGAGGCTGAGGTGGGCGGATCGCCTGAGGTGAGGAGTTCAAGGCTAGCCTGGCCAACATGGTAAAACCCCGTCTCTACTAAAAATACAAAAAGTAGCCAGGTGTGGTGGCAGGCGCCTGTAATTCCAGCTACTTGGGAGACTGAGGCAGGAGAATCACTTGAACCTGGGAGGCAGAGATTGCAGTGAACCGAGATCACACCATTGCACCCCAGCCTGGGCAACAAGAGCGAGACTTCGTCTCAAAAAAAAAAAAAAAAAAAAAAGGTAGGGCCAGAATTGAACTCAGGTATTCAGATTTTAAGTACACGGGGCGGGGGGCAGGGGCGGGTGTTTATTATTGTGTCAATGACATCCTGGCTTGAGATATTTTTTCTTTCGTTTTTATATTATAAGGGTAATGCCTATTTACTTTATAAAAATTAAAAAAATGCATATTAACAAATAAAAAGTTTTGCAACATTCTTAACCTACCTGTGAAATTTACTGTTAACATTTTGGCAAATAACCTTGCCCTGAAATATATTGATTTTTTTTTTTTTCTGATGGTTCTGAATTTGAGGCTGTTAATTATAAAACAATTTTGATGCTCATATGTTGTGATGATGTTGAATCTGAGAATATCCACAGCTTCAAATAGAATGCTAGAGCTCTGTGATTTCAAGGTGCTGTTTAAATAGCTGAGTTTACCACTACCTGTCATAAATGAAGTAGCAGGGAAAGAAGGCAGGTTGCAGGTTGTTACTTTTTGTTTCTTTTGCCCTTTCCTCCCTAACAACCATAGTTACAAAGAGTCCAGGAGGAGAACGACTTCACTTAGATCCCCAAGAACCTGTTAGCCAAGGCTTAACCCCACATTGAAAATATTTTCAGAATAGGCTCATTTGTGATAGGTGAATGCCACATTTAAAGTTGGTAAAGAACGTCAGTAGCCTTGGAGGTAAATATGTGGTATTTTCATAAACATCTTAAATACGTTTTAATTATTTTTCTCACAATGAATTAGGAGACAGAAAACCGGGCTCTGATTCTTAAGATTCGGATTCTACAGGAAGAGGTATGTCAGAATCGTTAAACACTGGCATACACAAACATGCAAATCATATCATTGTGATTTATGGCTGTGGGTTAAATAAAAATCATGTAAATGGTCAGGCTCTATAGGCCAGAGAGCAGGTTGACTTGTCAAATTACAAGTGAGGAGGAGTGGATGGGATTTTCACGTCTGAACAGAGGAACTGTTACTTTTGCAATTATTCTTGGAAGAAATGGGATTTAAGAAATTCAAATTTAAGATGAAATACAATGAACCCATCTAAAAAATATCCAAATGAAGAAGGAAAATATGGATGTTATCTAATGATTTTCCTTTTTTTTTTTTTTTTTTGAGACGGAGTCTAGCTCTGTCGCCCAGGCTGGAGTGCAGTGGCCGGATCTCAGCTCACTGCAAGCTCCACCTCCCGGGTTCACGCCATTCTCCTGCCTCAGCCTCCCGAGTAGCTGGGACTACAGGCGCCCGCCACCTCGCCCGGCTAGTTTTTTGTATTTTTTAGTAGAGACGGGGTTTCACTGTGTTAGCCAGGTCTGGATCTCCTGACCTCGTGATCCGCCCATCTTGGCCTCCCAAAGTGCTGGGATTACAGGCTTGAGCCACCGCGCCCGGCCAATGATTTTCCATTTAATTCCATTGAACAAAGTGGCAAAAGTCTTAAGTCTAAGATTCAAATCTTAAATTCACTGAAAAAAGGACCTGGGAAAGACCATTTACCTTTTCTGGGCTAACAGTACCTATGCCATGGAATTATTTTCGAGATTAACTAAGATAATTCATGTGAAGCCATCTGGTAAACCACAATGTACCTTATAAGTATTAGGAAATATTAGTACAATCTCAAAGAAAAAGAGTATAATTTTTTTAAAGCAACAAAATTGAAGCATTGGAAGAACAGGGAACAAGCTACTAGTAAGTTACTATTTTGCAGGGAAAATTCCTTTTCTAATAGATACTATTTGAATATCAAGTAGTATGCCAGTTTAAAAATTTTGCTTTTATATAAGGCTATCAGAAGTATTTATGAAGCTGTGCTGCACAATCTGGAGAGTTATTCAAAATGTGGGCCAGGTGGGTATTTTAAAATTTTATAATGGATTGGAAAGGAACAACTAAAGATTGGAAAGAAAGCCTACATTAGATTCAGAGCTGGTATAGCCACAAGGCCAGGCTTTTGTGAAACTAGTGCTTTACAGTTAAATTTCTGATGTAAGATATTTTTCTCCTCCTATTTAAATGATTCTCCTCTTGTTTAAATGAGTGACAAGTATCAAAGAATTGTACCAAACCAGTTCAGAATTGAGATAGAAGGAAGACTGAAAGCCCTTCATCATGAAATAGCATTACAATTATTGACTTACATTAGAAAATGAATATAAATGTTGTCACTAGCTAAGATTCCTTTGGGAGGTAAAAATCTGATGCATTGTGAAGAGTAACATCACAATGGTTTGGGTAGTGATTCACTTTTATTCATTCATTCATTTCGTTCATTCAACACATATTCATTGGAAGACCTTAGAGCTGTTGTAAGTGCTGAGTATATGAGCTTAGCAAAATAGCTCATGTGGAACTAGTGTGTTAGATGGTAATAAGAGCTATGGAGAAAGGAAAAGCAGAAAACAGAATTAAGGCAGAGAGGAGTGCAGTTTAAACTAGGGTGGTTAGGAAAAGCAGCCTTATGAAGCTAATCCTTTGATTCAAAACTGGGAAAGGAGGTTTATCTGTAAAAGAACCTTCCAGGCAGAAGAAATAGCTCAAAATCGTGAGGCTGCAGCCTGCCTGCTATTGTGGAGGGACAGTGAGGCCAGAGTGTCTGGAGCAAAGTGAACAAGTAGCAAGAGACGCAGGCCAAGAGCTGGAGGGTCCAGACACAAGGGGCTTACACAGGCATCCTAAGGATTCTGGCTTTAAAAAAACAAACAAAAAAACACACACACTTGAGTGAGATGGGAGCCATTGAAGTGTTTCGAGAAAAGGAGTAGTGTGATCTAATTCCATTTTAACAAGACAACTCTGGCTGCAGGGTTTAGAATCCCATTGTAGTGGGGCAAGAGGAAAAGCAGGAAGACCAATTAGGAGGCCTTTGAAATGATCCAGTCAAATGCTGATGGGGGCTTGGACTGAGCAGTTGCGGTGGAGGTGGACAGAAGTGTTTGGATCAGGAAATGCTTTGTAATATATCCAAAGTTATTTATTACGTTTTCAGTTAAGAAGGAAATTTTCTTCTGGTTGTTTCTAGCGTCTCAGTGAAATACAAAGCAAAATCATCAGCTGAGAGTGAGGATGTTGGAGGGGGTATTGGAAATTTGAGGAAAGAGAAGGAATGAAATGAGCTGGGGGTTGGAAAATTTTTTGTAAAGGGCCTGATTATAAATATTTTTAGGCTTTGGTAGCCACAAAAATCACCTTTGCGTCAACTACTTACCTCTGCCTTTGTATTGTGAAAGCAGTCATAGACAGTATGTACCCAAATGGGCACAGCTGTGCTCCGATAAAACCTTATTTACAAAAACAGGTGTAGATTTGGCCTTTAGGCCTTCAGGGGTGGAGATTTGGCCTTTAGGGGTGAAGTGAGGGGACTGGGCATGGTTTGCCACCCCCTGATTTAGGTCAAAGGCAGTATAGGTATACCAGGATGATATGATATGATCACCAGTAAACACTGAGGTTAAAGACCATGAATTAAACGTGTGACCTGTCTGTTCATGCTTTCTTTAAGCATGTTCTTCTGAAAGGGTGCTGGAGTGGGTGGTAAGCTAATTTAGGTAAATGCTAAGAAGCAGGAGTTAGGCAGGGAATGGCCTAATGGCATTTGGAAGAGAATGATTATAATGATTGCCCAGGGAAGAACTGAAGCTAAATAAAGAGGGGTCTGAGTTCATGGGAAGGTTGAAGGATAATGAAAAGGTGGTTGGATCAATGGATTGCAAGTTCCAGGGGGGATTGAAGGTTTGTGGGTATAGAGGAAGTAATCTGGAAAGGCAAGAGGTGGTTGTTGAAGAGCGGGATGCTTGCAACTAAGGTAATGGAGGGGCTGCAGTGACTGGTAATAACAAGTTTGAATTTATGACTATGGGAGTAGCAGCTGAGGTTGAATGGAAGATAAAAAGGCAATACTGAGAGTGATGAAATACCACCTCCTAAAAGAGACTTTGATTGTCCTCATGTTTTATTTTTCTTGGTGCTAAATCCAAGAATACTGTCTTTTACGTTAGAATATCAAGAACATCATGGATATAGACAGACTGGAAAAGAAGATTGAAGACTTGTCTAAAACTGAGACAGAGCACCAAGTAAGCACTTCCCAAATACTGGTAAAATATTTTTTTTCTGTCAAACCAATATGATTTTATGAAAATGTCTATGCCTCATTGACAAACTAAGCTTTGGTTATAAATTCTGAAACTTGTCTACAAAATATTTGAGTTATATAAAAGCTAGTTTCCTTTTCCTTTTTTTTTTTTTGGCAACTGCTTTACTGATATGTAATTCACATGCCTTAAATTTCATCAACTTAAAGTATACAAGTCAATGTATTTTAGTACATTCACAGAGTTGTGCAACCATCACCAAAATCAAGTTTAAAACATTTTCGTCACCCCGAAAGAAATCCCTTTAACAGGAACCAACCCCCATCCACCATCCTCACCCCAACCCTAAGCAGCCACTAATCTATTGTGTGTTTCTATAGATTTGTCTACTCTGGACATTTTATATAAATGAAATAATATAATATGTTGCCTTTTGTGTGTGGTTGATTTCACTTAGCATAATGTTTTTAAGGTTCATCCATGTTGTAGCATGTATTACTACCTCTTTTTATGGCTGGATAATATTCTATATGGATATATCACATTTTGTTTGTCCACTCATCAGGTGATGGACGTTCAGGCTGTTTTCACTTTCTGGCTATTATGAATCATCTGTTATAAACATTTGTATGCAAATTTCTATGTGTACATATGTCTTGATTTCTCTTGGATATATACCTAGGAGTGAAATTACTGGGTCACTTGATGTTTCTATGTTTGTTTATTTATTTATTTATTGAGACAGAGTTTTGCTCTTGTTGCCTAGGCTGGAGTGCAATGGTGCGATTTCAGCTCACTGCAACCTCTGCCTCCAGGTTCAAGGGATCCTCCTGCCTCAGCCTCCTGAGTAGCTGGGATTACAGGCGTGCACCACCATGCTCAGCTAATTTTTGTATTTTTGGTAAAGATGGGATTTCACCATGTTGGCCAGGCTGTTCTCAAACTCCTGACCTCAAGTGATCTGCCCACCTCGGCCTCCCAAAGTGCTGGGATTACAGGGGTGGAACACTGTACCCGGCCTTGTTTCTATGTTTAAACTTTTAAGGAACTGCCAGGCTGTGTTCAAAGTGGCTGCACCATTTTACATTCCACCAGCAGTGCATGAGGGCTCAAATTTCTCTACATTCTTGCCCAAATTTCTTGTCTTTTAATATTATATGGCAATTTTTAATTTAATTGTATCTGATTTTATGAATTTCAGGAAATACTTCAGATATTGTACCTTCTTTTTATTTTATTTTTTTGTAGTTTACCAACCTCAACCTGAGATATTGTACCTTCTTAATGCTAAAAATGAGGAGAGATGGGAAAAATTTATCCCTAATTAAATTAAGAAATTATACCTTACAAAAATATTTTTTGTCTAGATAGTGTCTAAAAAGTCTATATTTCATACATATTTTTGTTATCTGTCATACATTTTCATCAGGAAACAGATGACAATGACTAGTCAATTCATGAATTTGTGTCATTGTTATTGTCATCTCTAATGGCTTATTTGAGAAATATTTTGTTGTTGTATGTGTCTGAAATGATGATACAGTTAAATTTCATATCTATATGTAGAGTTTTCCAGTTTCCTAGCAGAAACTAACATTTCATGTGTGTGTTTACATATATATATATATATATATATATATATATATATATAACAACAGTTATAATTTAAACATCAATTTTTAAAAAAATTAACAAATAATTAGTTAATTATGAATTTAAAGACAGGATCTCTGTCCCCTGGGTGGTAGTGCAGTGGTATTATCATTGTTCACTGCCGCCTTGAACTCCTGGGTTCAAGTGATCTTCCCATCTCAAACTTCCAAGTAGCTGGGAGTGCAGATGCACACCACCATGCCCATTTAATTTATTTTTAAATTTTTTGTATAGATGAAGTCTTGCTATACAGACTGATCTTGAACTCCTTCCCTCACATGATCCTCCTACTTTGGCCTCCCAAAGCACTAGGATTATAGCTGTAAGCCATCATGCCCAGCCTTCTTAGACATTAAAATTAATTCTACACTAGGAGTGGCTGTCTTTGCAAAACACAACTAAACTAGTGGAAAGAGCCAGAAGACACGGGTTCAGATCGTGTCTTTTGTACTTAAAAATTTTATAACCTCAAGCAAGCTTTAAGTCTAAATTTTCACATCTACTAAATGGATGTGATGTTTGTACCTATCCCACAGGCTTGTTATAAACTCAGATGATGATGTGATTATATCCAGTGTATAAGATTATGGTGATGATTCTGCTTCTGACCATGATGATTATTTTTCCAGGTTCTCAATTCGGTCAATATACATTTTATTCATTCTATAATATGTAGCAGCATATGCCAACAAGCTTGCTTTTGATTTGAATAAATTGATATATCCTTTATATTCACTTAGCTAAAAGAAATCTTAAGCATTTTTAAACTACGTTGTTTTTTTTTTTTAATTTAAATTTTAGTTTTAGAGATGAGAGTCTTGCTCTGTCACCTGGGCTGAAGTGCAGTGGTATAATTATAGCTCACTGCACCTTCAAACTCTTGGGCTCAAACCACCCTCCAGCCTCAGCCTCCCGAGTGCCTGAGACTACAGGCATGTGCCACCACGCCAGGCTACATTGTTTTTAAAAAGGGAAGAGTCTTCTATGTGTCCTCATGGAATCTCTATGTTCATATTCTATCTAGACTTTTTATTTTCACCAAAAAAGTGAAGATTCTGAACATTCCCTTACTATGTTAAGTGTGGAATGGTGGGAAGGGCACTTGGCTGGAGCTGGAGACTTGCATTCCAGGCTCAGCTCTGCCATTGACAGTGTGTGACATTGGGTGGGTGAGTTTCTGGGTAGTGCGGAGCTTTGGTTTCCTCATTGGTAAAGTGAGTTGGCCTGTAGAGTTGGATGTGAAAGTTCTTTGTAAAGTGAAAAATACATGCGTGTTAGAGGTGCTTCAGAAACACTTTACTGGAATGATTTTATGGCACTGTCCTTTCACCAAAGCAGTGTCCCAACAGCCTTCCCTAAATCCGTCTCTTTTCAGATGCAGTTACACACATATGAGAACACTTTGCTTAATAAAGATACAAGTTTGCAGAAGGTTGGTATTGTTCCTTACCACAAAGGCCCATGGAATTGGCTAGCTCTCTCTAAATCTGATTATTTTCTTTTTTTGACGGAATCTTGCTCTGCTGCCCAGTCTGGAGTGCAGTGGCGTGATCTCAGCTCACTGCAACCTCCACCTCCCAGATTCAAGCGATTCTCCTGCCTCAGCCTCCTGAGTAGCTGGGATTACAGGTGTTTTGCCACCATGCCAGCTAATTTTTGCATTTTTAGTAGAGACGGGGTTTCCCCATGTTGGCTAGACTGGTCTTGAACTCCTGACCTCAGGTGATCCACCTGTGTCAGTCTCCCAAAGTGCTGGGATTATAGGTGTGAGCCACTGTGCCCAGCCTAAAAAATCGGATTCTAATATGATATCATGAGACTTTCCTTTATAGTACTTTATAAAAATAAGTTTGAACTTATCTTCTGTAAATTCTGGTGGTGTTCATCCACATATGTGACAAATATTAGTGTGCCAGTCTACCAGTCACTGGCTAGATACTGGTGATGTTGTTTTAATTTCTAACAACATAAATGAGTCTGCAGCCATTCATTTAAGGGTGGAAGAAGAATATATACCCAAATGATTTGAAACCTAATTTGATTGATTGATTAGATAGACATGTAGATAGATATCATTCTATTCTTGCATCCTGTGATTGTAGCCAAGGATACTGGCTACAAAGGTGCTGGTTACAGTGACTTTAAGAGACACAGGAAGGAACGCAGCCTAATCTTCTACAATAATCTTTCACAGTCCAAGACAGGGAAGTGAAGAAAGCATGATATTTGCCACTCATCTTTTCCCTGCACATTTTGAAGTTTCAAAAGAAACATGCAGGGCTGTGGACTTTGACTGGGATACTGAATATTGTCCTAACTTGATGTCTTCATTGTGCGTGTTCTCTGTGTAATGATATTGCGATAGTAGTGGCTACTCAGTTTCTCCCTAACTCTGGTCTTCCCACCATTCTGCACTCCTGCTCAGGGTTCATCAGGCATTGATTGATCATCTCCCATGTGCCAGCCACCATGCTAGCCACGGGATAAAATTAGAGATCGGGTACTTACTACCTGTACCTTTTGGTCTTGTAGAACAAAACAATGATTTTAAGGAGGTATCATTAGAAGTGGAAAAAATCAGATGCCTTAATTTCATCGGTCACTTGCAAGATTGATTTTTCTTTAACACATCATGATGATAAATATAATTTCGATTTGGGCTTCAGAATCACCTTTTAGAGTTTGATTCCACTGGATCGGACAAACACAGATTATATTGACACTAGTTACATATTGCTGCCTTTTTGTCCGTGTGTGTGTGTGTGTGTGTGTGTGTGTGTCTGTGTGTTTTTGTTTTTGTTTTTGTTTGTGACGATGTTTCGCTCTTGTTGCCCAGGCTGGAGTGCAGTGGCGTGATCTCAGCTCACCGCAACCTCCACCTCCTGGGTTCAAGTGATTCTCCTGCCTCAGCCTCCCGAGTAGCTAGGATTACAGGCGTGTGCCACCACACCTGGCTAATTTTGTATTTTTAGCAAAGACGGGATTTCCCCATGTTGGTCAGGCTGGTCTGGACCTCCCGACCTCAGGTGATCTGCCTGCCTCGGCCTTCCAAATTGTTGGGATTACAGTCGTGAGCCACTGCACCCAGCCATCCTTGTGTGTTTTTAATCACAAACACTGACTGGTTCAGTTTTCCAATAGTGAGACTTGTAGAATCGCATGATGATTGGGCATTTACAATTCTTCTGTGGCTCACATCGATAGTCTAATAAATATGATTTGGTGGACCCATTACTTTTTTGCTATTATTTCTCTCTTCTACTTTTCAGAAAGGCTTATATATAGAAGAACTTAAATCAACCATCATAGAATATGGAAGCATTATAGAGGTATACCTGTTGTTATTAATAATCTCACAGCTTGCAAGGTAGGCTTGTTAAATGTAAATTCCCCACTAGAGTAACATGTACAGCCTAATGTTGTGTGCAATTCCAGAATTTACGAGGGGATAAAAATAAGCTGGCTCATGAGTTACAGCACTTGCAACAGGAACTCATCACGTAAGTAGAGGGCAACCCTTGCCGGCCTCCTCTCTTGTTCCTCTACCCTACATTATTGGCAAATTGAGCTTTGTATGTGCCACATTCTTTTCTTCTATACCTTTGTGTGTGACATTTTCTCTCTTTTTCTCCATGAGAACTTCTTTATGAGTTTCCTATGACCCCATCCTCCCTGATTGTCTTAGACAGCTGAGGTTGCTACGACAAAATACCATAGAATGTGTGGCTTCAGTAATACTCGTTTATTTCTTACAGTTTTGGAGGCTGGAACTCCAAAGATCAGGGTGCCAGCAGGGTTGAGTTCTAGTGAGGGCCCCGTACAAGGTTGCAGATTGCTGACTTATCCTTGTACAAGCATGCAGGAAAGGCAGCTAGCTAACTCTTTGGCTTCTTCTTATAATGATACTAATCCCATTCATGAGGGTTCCACCCTCATAACTTAATTACCTTCCAAGGGTTCCATTTCCAAATACCATCACATTGGGGTTAGGAATTCAATATATGAAATTTGGGGGGCACATAAACATTCAGTCCATTGTGTTGACTTTCCCTTGCTTGCTTTTGCCTTACCCTGGAACTAAGTAACCCTTTTTTTCTTTCTTTCTTCCTTTTTTTTTTTGGAGGTGGAGTCTTGCTCTGTCACCCAGGCTGGAGTGCAGTGGTGCGATCTTGGCCTGCTGCAACTTCCGCCTCCTGAGTTCAAGCAATTCTCCTGTCTCAGCCCCCCAAGTAGCTGGGACTACAGGCATGTGCCACCATGCCCAACTAATTTTTGTATTTTTAGTAGAGATGGGGTTTCACCATGTTGGCTAGGCTGGTCTCAAACTCCTGACCTTGTGATCTGCCTGCCTTGGCCTCTCAAAGTGCTGGGATTACAGGTGTGAGCCAAGGTGCCTGGCCCAAGTAATTGTTTTGAATGTAAGCATGGCACCTTGTTCTCACCTCTCTCCTAACACACATCATTCTGTATGATAATCATTTGTTTCTGAATGTGAGTAATATGCTAGTCCGGGATCCATAGGAGTCACTCAGATAACAAAAATGAGTAAAGCTAATGGAATATGCACACACCTACATTATGCAAATGGCAAAGGAGATAAGTGCATTACCCACATAAAGGTAGAGGGGGCTACTCTGTTTAGCTTCAACTAATTGTGACATCAAAATTCTATGGACCTAGTCTGGCCATATCTTCTGATTTTGGAAGAAAAGCCAGAAATCCAGATTTTTAAGTGGCATTTTCTGATTTTTAACTGTTGGCACCAATTCTTTTTAAAAAATGTGGCCTGGTTTATGACCTCGTAGACTCACTGATCTGTGCAGCTCCTGGAGGATAGAGACGATTTCTGACCACTCTCCCTATTCCCAAGCACATTATACAATCCTTGGCACACATGGGTGCTGACTGATTGTTTGGTGATAAATGGACCCTATATTCTGTTGACTTCAAATGTAATGTTGGAGACACACCTAACTAGACTATTGTGTTTGTTTTTTTCAAGAAATGGGATCCAGTTGAATGTTAATGGAGAGTGTAACAGTATCATCTCTGAAGGAGAAAAATCTTTACTTTATGAACTCACTCTTGCTCAGTCTGCAGAGGTAGGTCATTATAAGAAGATGGAAAGTTTTGAAAGATAACTACTCCATGTGATAGCTTATGATGAAACGAAGGTTCACAGCTTGCCGAAAACTACCAGGGACACTGAGAGAATATACTGATAGTTCTTAGAATCCAAGTCTAAAATTTCTTAGCTTGGGGAGAAAGGACCATTTTCAAGTTACGGCCGAAAGCTACAGCAAGGTTCAAGGTTTGTGGAAGTGTGCATTCAGGGACTTTGGGACTTTAGAAATGTTTATTTTCTTGACAGGACAGACAACCTGCGCTGATCCCCAGCCTAGGGTACCAAAGGTAGCCATAGATATCCATGAGTTATTTTTTAGAATTTTCCAAACCCTCAAAGTAAATATATTTATCCAAAAATAAAGATGCCCAGAAACAATACCAGATTTATTTGCTTTAGATTATAATTGTGTCAACCCAAATTAATGACATTGATTATTACATTCTGATCAGAAACAAGCATTTTCTTACATGTGTTTCAGTTAATAAGTGGCAAAATGAATGTATTAGTTTAAACAATTTCCATTTGTTTGGTAGACCCAGTACTTTATAACATGGGAAGAAATATTTTAAAAACCTTCTCGGAGATAAAGACATTCTGACTCCACTATGCTATATTTTCATTCCTTTGTATTTTCCAGTTTTGTGCTTGTTATGCTCAGAAATGCTTTATTTAGAAAAACGCTTTCTTTTCACCATTTGATGGTCTCTTCCTATCTGGGGACGATGGATATGTCACAATGTTCTCCTGTTGACAGCTGTGATGCGACCTTGAAAGAAGAGAAAGAATGCCTTTGGGCAAATGCTATTTGAATTGCTTCTGCCAAGGATGCAGGGACAACATATGCTGCCTTCATCTGAAGCCATCTCCGGCAGCCCTGGACATTCTGCTGAGGGCTGTGCTTTCCTGACATTCTGTTTCAAATACTCATCATTTCACTGTGTTTTTGAAACCAAGCCAAACTGCCAGACTGAATGAAACTGTGGCAAATCTGCCACAGCAGTGTGTTTTTATCCTCAGTCCTCTGAGATAATAATGATGTCAAGATGCCAGCCCAGAAAGTTCTATAGTTCTAAACGCGGGGGTTATCAGCCAGCAAAGTTCTGGCTCTGAGGTTGACCGGATGATGAGTTGTGAAGTTTGTCTTCTAACTAGAATCTCGAAATAAGAGTCCTGTGACCTTTTCAACAGGCAGCAAAAAGAAGGCTTGGGTCATATATTTAAAATATGATAGGAGGCAGAGACTTTGAGAGAAGTATAGGGAATGTACTTTGTGAAACATCGTATCGTCTTTTATGAATGGAAGGGAGACAAAAGAAGCCAACCTGTTTTCAGTGGGATTGATTGAGCAGCCCTTCTCCACCAATTCTTCCCCACTGGGTATTTCTCTACCTATTTTTATGTTAAAATTAGAGCCATAACAGTTTATATCATCAGCATGTAAATGTCATCTGTTGATAAATGAGTTTTCCTTAAGACAGAATAAATGTTCAGCTGAAGCCATCCTAGAGAGAAAATGTCAACAGTATTTTTAGGATGTAGGAGAATTCCACAAGACTATTTAGAACCAAATGATAATGACATTAACTCATGAGCATCATTTTTGTTAAGTAAAAATAATGAATGTTCTCTATTCAGATGTCAATTGTGGGCATTTCGATCATTGTTTCAGAACACTGACACTGAAAGGCAGCGCAATACAATCAACTTGTCATCTCTGGACGCCATGATGGATCAAGAAATGCTGCTGTTACTAAGAGAGCCTGAGCAAAAAGGAGTGGAATTCACAGCCACTCTTCAAAAGCTGGTATCGTGTAATATACCTGTATTGTGGTGTTCCGCTTTGGCTGGGAATATCTGCAGATAACTGACCTGCAACCTGTTTGCTGAGTCCAAATGCATCTGTGTGCTGCTGGAGACCCAAATTAATACACTCTGAAAAGTGAAGGTTTTTCTCAAACCTTTCTGAAGCTGGCCTGTTAGTTCTGGGTCAATCAGGGCTAACAGATTGACCATTAGATATGGATTGCTTGAGGCTATTTTTTCCTGTGGGCTAATCTTTAGAATCAAAGGGCTGAAGACATGGTATCTATTGAACAGTTTCCTTCTTTCAGTTTTCTTTGGTTAATGGCTGGTATTTCTTTCTCCATTTTGATTTTTCACTGGAAACTCTGGATGATTGGAGAAATCAGGGAACAACATTTTCATGCTGGTATTGCCAGTCCCTTCCACAGTGCCTAGCATATAGTAGGTAGCATTTAGTTTGGTACATTTTGGTACATTTTAAAATGGTAAAAATAAGTGAAAATGGTTGTTTTCTTCTATTTAAAAAGATAGGTTTTGTTCTGGAAAATGATTATCTCTGTATACATTCAACATGTATAGAGCACCTGACAATATAGCATATACACATGGCAACATCCTGGAATAAAAGAAAGTCACTGGGGGCATTAGATGCAAAGGAACGTACTCTGGTATTTTCCTGAGTTACCTATAGAGTAGAATTTTGGTCTCAATGGATTCTGATTGTATAATAGCATATATCTTTCATCTAAATTCCTAGTTGAAGATGTGGAACTCTTTTTACAGCACGAAGAAATTTCTAAAATTGCAACCCTCACTGAAAGCTGTCGACGGTGGGTAAATAATCCAGAAATAACTGTGAAAGAAAAGTGGGAGGAGCAGCTTACTGTAAGTGTTCTATATTTTGTGATTTTCCTGGTTTTTCTTCTACTTTGTTAAGCCAGGTAATAGTGTATACAGTACCATTTCTAAGACTTTATTGTAGTCTTCTGCTATCTTAGTCTGATCATGAGTGTAGAGTGTGTATCCAGGGGTGTGTACGAGTGTGAGGGTAAGGAAAGAATGTGAGAGAGAGTGAGTGTGCAGACATGTGAGATGCAATGGAGAGACAAATAATAAATACGATGATTTAATGAAAAAAATGCATTTATCTCCTTGTAAGAATTCGCTAGTCTAAATTTAGATTTTTCCTTAGCCTATTAAAATTGCCTAACTTTGAAAGAATGATGATTGTGTAAAAGAATCTTATTCCTGAGACTTTGATGGTTTTATTAACTCAGGAACTTGCAGAACATTGGAAAAGCAGCAACTTCTTAGGTAGCTATTCCCAGCTTTATTAGAAAGGAAGCACATGAGAAGGTATCCCCTTCATCTGTCCATCACATATTTACCTCTATTTCTTGACTGCCAGCCACTTTCTTGCATCCATCAACTGCTTAAGTTAAGCTAAAGAAAAAAGTAAACTCTGGAATATTATTTCAACACTTTTGCCAATCTAATTTTTTTTTTTTTTGAGATGGAATCTCACTGTTGCCCAAGCTAGAGTGCAATGGTGTGATATTGGCTCACTGCAACCTCCGCCTCCTGGGTTCAAGCAATTCTCCTGCCTCAGACTCCCAGGTAGCTGAGATTACATGCATGCGCCACCACGCCCGGCTAATTTTTGTGTTTTTAGTAGAGATGGGGTTTCACCATGTTGGCCAGACTGATCTCAAACTCCTGACTTCAGGTGATCCGCCCACCTCAGCCTCCCAAAGTGCTGGGATTACAGTCAGACTAACTTTTTTAAGATAACATGTGAATATGATAATCAATAAATACTGATATTATTGCATTATCTTGTCCCATCCTGTTCTAAAGCAAATTGTGATGACTGCTGAAGTTGTCAGGGACTAATTTAAGAAAAAGAAAGCGAAGCTCAGTTTTAGGGACACAATAAGCACTTTATACATACATGTTACACTGACATAACCAATAGGGTAGTCAATCTCTGGGCAATTGGGAATTGGTATTAATTGACATACAATTGAGAATTGGTATTCATTGATGTACAATGATGCCATTGAGATGGAATGTCCACAGCTTTTTAGATTGCCTCTGTCATTTGTCTGTGTTTAACATTGGAGTACTGGGGTTTGTTTTGTGACTTTTCTTGTAGGAATTCAACAATATCATGGAAGAGAAGCTAGATCTTTGCATATTAATGCTGAACATCTTGGGAAATCACAAGGAGTCTCTTGATCAAGAATTTGCCAAATTAATAGAGATTTTGAAGAGATTCAGGCAGGAATATGTTTATTTCAGAAAAGAATTTCTTGCCAGGTGATGATCATTTATGAGAAATCCATGCTTTGTATACATGGCATGTTTATGGTCATGCCACTTCAGTTTACTTTCTTCAAGTTGTATACATTGATTTCAGATGAGACTTTTTTCAGAGAAGACATCCTGTTTGACAATTCTGAATTGTAAAACAGTATGAAATTGACTTACATGTTCAAAATTGCAAATGACAACCTATAAAATCTGTGGAAACCGGCCAGGCGCAGTGGGTCACACCTGTAATCCCAGCACTTTGGGAGGCCAACGCAGGCAAATCATCTGAGGTCAGGAGTTCAAGAGCAGCCTGGCCAACATGGTGAAACCTCATCTCTACTAATAATACAAAAATTAGCCTGGTGTGGTGGTGCATGCCTGTAATCCCAGCTACTCGGGAGGTTGAGGCAGGAGAATTGCTTGAGCCTGGGAGGCAGAGGTTGCAGTGAGCTGAGATCGTACCACTGCACTCCAACCTGAGTAACAGAGTGAGACTCCATCTCAAAAAAAAAAATTCTGTAGAAACCAGTATAATGAGTTATTTTTTCCCTGGAGAAGAAATTTGTAATTATGAAATATAGTCTTTTACCAGAAGAAGCCTTAGAGATCCTCTAGTAATCTCATAATTTTACAGAGGACTAAGGCATGGGGAGATAAAGTGAACTAAAGGCCTGAGACTTATTAATGGAAGCTCTGGAACTTGAAGCCAGTCTGTTGGCTCCTCCCCATTGGGTTTTATGTTTGACCTCAGTGTATCATGTTGGGCACTGGGCAACTAAATGTCAGTTAAATGAAGTCATAGGGAATAGATGATAACAAATATAAAATAACTTACCTTCTTATCCTTTCTGTACCCTCAATTCTTATGATAATGGTGAAATTCTTGAAATTTTTACACCCTGGAAACAATAAGCACAGCAATTATATCTTTTGTTAACCACCATTTATAGAGCTGCTAGGACCATACTTGGCGCTCACTTAAGAAATACTTTTGGAGTAAATGAGCAAATGAACATAGGTATATATTGCACTTGAACAAAATTTTAAAATGTAGTTAGAGACTGAGGAAAGCTTGAAGAAAATAGCCAGAAGAAACTATTTTATTCCCCCCAAATATAAGGAAACTAGATACCAGAGAGAGAGAATACCAGAGGAACTCTCAAGAAAATGGCCTTCTGCTTTCCCTAAGAAGCAGAGAACCCACACTTCCCCATAGTGGTAAAAGATGTGGGCTAAGTGGACACGCAGCTTCCTTACGCAGATACCATCTCCACAAAAGGCAGCATCAACATTCTTCTATTTAGCAACAAAGAACTATTTGGAGAGAGGTCTTCACTAATGTCATCTCAAAACGAGTGAATGTTTTGTATTGTCCTACTTAGACATACAAGCAGCCTGGTTAAATAACAGTAGTTGTCATTTGTCTAGAGGCTACGGTGTCAGATGTAGTGCTAAGAATTTGACATCTATTTATCTCCAGAGAGGTTCCATAATTTGCCCAAGGTCACCCAGCTGGGATTAAGTGATAGCTGAGATTCAGACCTAGTTCTGTCTGACTCCAAAACCTGTGTCCTTTCAATGGCTTATCTCCCACCATCAACTTGTTAAATCTGATACAAGATTCTTTAAAAATATTCTGGGAACCTAGCATTGGGCAAAATACTCCTTATCAGCATAAGATGGTTATAACCTCTGGCCTCTGGACACAAGTTAAAACTCACAAAGCCACATAAAGGCTACACACAAAATAATTTGACTGTGGATTTCAGCTATGAATAAGTAAATAGCTGGGTGCCCTGGCTCACACCTATAATCCCAGCACTTTCGGAAGCCAAGACAGGAGGATGGCTTGAGCCTGGGAGTTCAGAACAGCCTGGGCAACATAGCGAGACCCTGTCTTTACAAAAAAAATCTTTTTAATGAGCTGGGCATGGTGATGCATGCCTGTAGTCTCAGCTACTTGGGAGGTTGAGGTAGAAGGATTGCTTGAACCCAGGAGTTTGAGGCTACAGTGAGCTATAATTGTGCCAGTGCACTCTAGCAGCCTGGGAGACAGAGCAAGACACTGCCTCGTAAAAAAAAAAAAAAAAAAAAAAGAGAGAAAAGAAAAGAGAAAAGAAAATGAATGGAGTATTTTGTGAGGATGAGAGAGAATTCTGTTTAGATGAGGTAGGAAATGTTTATTAAAGGTAAATTTTTAGGAGCTATTTGCTGAGGGAAGAGAGGCTCCCATTCTGCTGTGGGACAATTGGGCTCTCGTGCTGGAGAATGGAAATCAGTGAGTGGGCCAAAGAAAGGCATGGACAGGAAAGTTCTCTCAGAAGGCTTGGTGAGGAAAGCAAATCTTGATTCGTACAACATCCGTCAGGATGTCTGCTCTTCGCCAGTCTGCCACCCCTTCCCCAAACCCAGGTGCTAAGGAATTATAGGAAATAAGACAGAAATCTCTGCCGCTATGAAACTAACATCTAGTAAAGGATGCAAATAACAAACAAATAAACATATAATGTCAGGGAGTGGTATAAAGAAAATTAAATCGCGATAAGAAGACAGAGAATGACTGGGAGCATTTGAGAGAGAATAGCCAGGAAAGTCCTGCCTGAGGAGTAATGAATTGAGTGGAGACCTGAGTGGGGTGAGGGAGTGAGCTATGTGACCATCCGGGTGTGTTCCAGGCAGAGGAAGGAGCTGGTGCAAAGACCCTGAGATTGTAGTGAGCTTGGTGTTTTTGAGCAGCAGCAAGAAGCCGGCATGGCTGGGGCGGGGTGGGGGCTGGGCAGTGGTACGATGTGGGGCCAGAGGGATAGACAGGGGCCAGGCCAGACATAGCCTTTGCAGTCCATGTTTAGGAGTTGGGATTTTATTGAGTGTGGTGAGAAGCCATCAGAGGGTTAGGAGCAGAGAAGAAATGTGATTTGTGTTTTGTTTTTGTTTTTTATTGTTTTTCTTCTTTTTTTTGTGATTTGTGTTTCGAAAGATCTGCTGGATGAAGAATTATTTATAGAGGGCAAAAGTGAAAGCAGGGAGACCAGTGAGAACAGTTTTCTTCTCTTTTCTTTTTTTTCAAGACAGGCTGGAGTGCAGTGGCGCGATCTCAGCTTACTGGAACCTCTGCCTCCCCGTTCAACCTCCACCTCCCGAGTTCAAGCAATTCTCCTGTCTCAGACTCCCAAGTAGCTGTGTGCCACTATGCTCAGCTAATTTTTTTTTTTTTTTTTTTTTTTTTTTTTAGTAGAAACAGGGTTTTGCTATGTTGGCCAGGCTGTTCTCAAACTCCTGGTCTCAAGTGATCTGCCCACGTAGGCCTTCCAAAGTGCTGGGATTACAGGTGTGAGCCACTGCACCCAGCCAGAGAAGAGATTTTCAACAACAGATAATCATTTAGATATTCTGATATCAATTTACTGATTTGTGACTCATTTTTTAAAAAGTAAGATATAAAATAATAGAGTGCATTACATATAGTAAGAATAAGTAGTGCCGAATTGAATTTTTGTTTCAGCTATCTGTGTGTGTGTATGTGTGTGTGTTTGTATACTGAGTTGAAATATAAAATATTTCACGATGAAAAAGTTATAGAGTTAAGAACAATTGCAGTAGTCCAGACGAGGGATGTAGTGTGGGTCAGAGTAATAGTCACGGAAGTGGTAAGAAATTATTAAATTCGAAGTGTATTTTTGAGGGTGGATCTGATCAAACATGGTGGCAAGTTATATGTGTGGAAAAAGAGAGGAGTCATCCTTGACTTAGAGGCTTTTGATCTGAAAACCAGGTAAATGGTGTGCTATTTAGACCACAAAGTCTGGGAAAGATGTAGACTGGAATAGAAATCAAGATTTATCATTAGAACATGTTGGTAGAGAGAACTGTTAGATTTAAACACACACACAAGCTAATGTATACCTCTTTACATGATAATAAAATTTCTGGTCAGGCGCGGTGGCTCAAGCCTGTAATCCCAGCACTTTGGGAGGCCGAGACGGGTGGATCACGAGGTCAGGAGATCGAGACCATCCTGGCTAACACGGTGAAACCCCGTCTCTACTAAAAAAAACACAAAAAACTAGCCAGGCGTGGTGGCGGGCGCCTGTAGTCCCAGCTACTCGGGAGGCTGAGGCAGGAGAATGGCGTGAACCCGGGAGGCGGAGCTTGCAGTGAGCTGAGATCCGGCCACTGCACTCCAGCCTGGGCAACAGAGCAAGACTCCGTCTCAAAAAAAAAAAAAAAATTCTATGGAAGAAAAATCTTCAAAGGTTTATCATCTGTTGAATATCTTTAACAGACGATACCATCTAATTTTTTCTTGAGACAGTCTCGCTGTGTTGCCAGGCTGGAGTGCAGTGGCACAATCTTGGCTCACTACAACCTCCGTTTCCTGGGTTCAAGTGATTCTCCTGCCTCAGCCTCGTGAGTAGCTGGAACTACAGGTGCACACCACCATGCCCAGCTAACTTTTTGTATTTTTAGTAGAGATGGGGTTTCACCATGTTGGCCAGGATGGTCTCGATCTCTTGACCTCGTAATCCACCTGCCTCAGCCTCCCAAAGTGCTGGGATTACAGGCATGAGCCACTGCACCCGGCCCCCATCTGGTATTTTTAAAAAGCTATTTCTAAGACTTAGGATTCATAAAGTTCATAAAACATGTTGTTCTATTGGTGAAAATACATATAAGTAATTGAAAGTATGAGTATTAATAAATGTGGATTTATGATGGTCCTTAAAGTCCTTTTGCTTTCTCTTGGAAGATAATGGACACTCTTGAGAACATAGACTATTCCTAGAAGACAGAAAAGTAGATAAAAGTGATATCTTTAAAATAAAAAAAAAATAAAAATAAAAAAAAAGAAGAATGATTCCAGCAAGATGGTGGAATAGGAAGCTCTGCACTCTCCTCTCCAGGAACACATGAATTCAACAACAATACATGAACAAATTCCTATTGTGAGAAACCCAGAAACTAGTTGAGAGGCTTCTGAATCCTGAGTGAACGTGAATCCAACTTCA